TGTCATGTCCCGTATTCGACAGCAGGGGGCAGGCACTCACTCTGCCACCTGCACACCTGTTGTGCATTTGTTTGTGATTACACCTGCTATATGTAGGCGCTCCGGCTGTCAACTCATTGCCGGAGTATTGCTTGCCGTGCCACTGCTATTGCCCATGCTCGTATTTCGTATCTCGCACTCTATTGCTATTCGCGACCATTTCGTCATCCCAGTGGGATCCTCTTTAACGCGTAGTTATTCGAAGTAAATTGTCTTATCTTTTCCTTGCCGTTTTTTGCAAGCGCTTTCTTTTCCTCACGTTACATTAATTCCTGGTTCTCGTTTTGACCAGCGTTTTGTGTTTTCCTTTTGACGGTGTTTTTTCGTTTGTAATAAATATTATTTGATAGACAAGACCTTGTTCAGTGCCTGCTATTTCGGGGATCCACCTATTCTTGTTCGCTCCGTTGCGTACGAAGCAGCTCTCTCCTTCTGCCTAGTACGCAACGTGACAAAAGGAAGGTTAATGTGGGCTTTGCTCAGTGCCATGATGAGGCTGCTGAAAAAGCTTTAAAGCTTTGTGACTGCAGCACTTTTGACTAATCTGGACCACTTTACTGCTCAATATAACTCACTCGTAAAAATGACTCTTTCTCAGGTGCCCTCCTCGTTAGTCCCTCTTGATCTGGTACCATGGTTTTCAGAAATGACACTTATCAGATTTTCAACTTCATTGACAATGATTGTTTGTTGTCCTGCCGCACCATTGTTGTCACCCCAAAGTTCCTGGCGGGATCTTGTTGCTTTTACACCACCTGCAAGATGCTTTTCTGGACATTGCTCTCTGTTCTCACATTCTGAGGAGTGTGCAGCCAACTCTGAGAAAAGAATGTCTTTGAGCTAGTGCAGTACACGTGGGAGCCAAATCAATAAATGTCTTCCTATGTGGAGAGCATTTATTCAATAGCCTTACTATACATCTTAATATCCATCTCATAGTTGCTCTTGGGACATACTTGTAAGCCTCTTCAGTGCACTAGTAGAACAGCTAGGCTGACCTACAAAGCGGTGTCTTGCTAGTAATGTTTTTCTACACCTCCTTTCACTTATAACATTTCTGCACACTAATATGACAACAGCGGCCCGGTGGTCCAGTGGTTAGCACATCCACCTCACAGTGCAGAGTTGCAGGGTTTGATTCTGGCTCCGGCCTCCCTGTGTCGAGTTTGCATGTTCTCCCCGGGCCTGCGTGGGTTTTCTCTGGGTACTATGGTTTCCTCCCACATTCCAAAAACATGCATGGCAGGCTGATTGAACTCTCAAAATTGTCCCTAGGTGTGTGTGTGAGCATAGATGGTTGTTCGTGTCTGTGTGCCCTGCGATTGGCTGGCAACCAGTTCAGGGTGTCCCCCGCCTACTGCCTGAAGACAGCTGGGATAGGCTCCAGCACCCCGCGCGACTCTTGTGAGGATTAAGCGGATCAGAAAATTAATGGGTAACATGACAACTTTGTAATACTAGGAGGATAACTATGACACAAGTGAGGCAAAACTGTACACTCCTTGACATCTACATACTAGTTGTACTACTTACTAGTTAAGTGTTAGAAGTTAACTGTTGCACTTTTATAAATTCATTAGTAGTAATAGTGCCACACATTTGTCAACTAGTGCCCAGTTTTGACTTACTATTAACTTATAGTTGTCCTACCACAAAAGGAAGTTGCCTTACTAGTGTGGACAAAGAGCTTTCTCGTACATGGCGGCGAGCCATTTGAGCATTTGTTCAATCTGCTTCATATCAAGATTATTGTCCATGTACTTGTTCACTTTTTACAGAATAGTCTTGGTAGTACCGTATTTTCTGCACTAAAAGGCGCACCTAAAAGCCTTCAATTCTGCTGCTGTAGATTCCAAATTTCCCCAGTGTGGGACAAATAAAGGTTTTCTTATCTTCTTATCTTATTCATTGAAGGTGTGCCTCATAATCCAGTGCGCCTTTTAGTGTGAAAAATAAGGTAATGTTTTTTCCACCCCGAGTGCCATGTTTGCCTACTTGTACAAAATTAAATCTTTCTAGGTAATGGCTGTCCTGCATCAGTGGAAGGCAGTAGCGGTATGAGTGTGCTCTGGTTATTCTACTTTGGTGTAGTGTGCTGACTTGTCTCACTAGCGAAGACAAAGACCATACTCAGAGGACAACGTTGGCATAATTATAGGACCAAACTGTGCAGGAGTTGACAATGTTACTATGCGCTATTAAAATTGCAAGTGGTACTATGAAGTTTCCTAGTGCGTCTCTCGTTAGTAAGTCAGTAGTGATGCCCAGATATCAAGTAGTGTAGTTTTGCATCACTTAGTAACATGTAGTTGTCGTATTAGTATGCCAAAGTTGTCTTGTGTCTGTGGAGAAATGTCATACGGTAGTCGAGAAAATGTTACTCATCAGACACCGTTGTTCGACTACTGCAGTGTTTCCCAACTTTTATTGAACCATGGCTTATCTCACGGCACACCACTTTGGAAATTGATTGACAAAGAGTGGACACGGCTATATGATGTGCCTTCTGTCATTTAGTGGAAGAGCACTTGGTTGTTATGCCCGTTACTGGATGTACTTGGCATAGATAACAAAAACTGTGCTTGTGGACTCAAATAGTCCGTATGAGTGCGGACAAAGAGCATACGAGTACATAGACCTTAAACTGCATATCAAGACAATTGAAGAAATGCTCATAGTATTTTCCTCCCCTAAGTATATTCACAGTGTACCAGTAAGATTATGAGGCTCTGTAAAGAAAGTCTGGTTTGATAATTCTTATTTAGTCTTTCTCACTCTTAAAATGCTGCCCCTGTTGGCTGAGCAGTTCCATTAAGCACACATGCAAACCTGGCCGTTTGGTATTTAACTGTGACTCGGACAGACGGTCATCAGTCGAGCTGCCTTGCGTGTTGATGCTCACCCACGCTCATGTTGGCTACGCAAGACTGACAAGTGCTGAACAGGCGGGGGGTAAATATTCCAAATCTTGAGTCTGAAATCAATGTTCTTGCATGCTGTCACTCCACCTTGTTCCGCTTCACGTTCTGATTTAATGAGAGAACACAATGGCAGCGTGCGTGTGCATATGTGTGCAGAATCAGTGGGGCAGCGCAGCAAATTCCTGAGGAAGGTGGAAGAGTTGAAGAATGCCTTGGTGTGTTCGGGTGTTCCTGATGAGTTCCTGTGTCCAATCACCAGGGAGTTGATGAGAGAACCAGTCCTCGCTGCTGGTGAGCCACGGGTCTACCGCACTGGGTGGAACATTTCCAATAAATTGTTGGAAAGTTGCCATGGGAATTTAAGGTGGGGAATATGGGTTTCAATGCCATTGAGGTTGAATCCTGCAATTTCACCTGAAAGCCAATTATCCCAAATTTCAAATGATCTTAATAGTGAATAAAGATTTGGGAAAGACTAATCCAGAGTACTTTGCATATGCCCATAGATGGCTACTCGTATGAGAGGGAGGCCATCACGATGTGGATCAACACCAGGAACCGCTCCAGCCCCATGACCAACCTGCCCTTACTGACAACTCTGCTCACCCCGAATCACACGCTGAAGATGGCCATCGCTAGGTGGAGGACAAACCATTAAGAAAGTCTCCGCCACCACTGCCACTCCATCATTTCAGGTGCGCGAGTAGAAAGACCCAAAATATTTCACATTCCTCATGGACAACTTCATTTCATTAGTGTCGAGTTGTTCTGTGTGGGCAGATTTAAATACGCTGTTGTAGTTTGTTCATTTGAGTGCACTCATAATCATGCAGAACAAACTGAACATTAACATGATGACATTTTACATTATGTATCATCACATTCTCCTCGTATTGTATTTCAAAGTGTGAATAGCTAGCTTTCATAACACGTGTATACTTGGTCTTAACGAGAAGTGAGTTGACTAGCCAAATTTGTACTAACAAGTACACCTATTGTACCCTTTAACCCTTTCAGGGACAGCGGTGTGAATATCTTACCATGTTTTCAGGTTACAGGGTACATGAAAGGGTGAAATTGGTTTATTGGTCAGTTGGTTTAACGTTTCCCATCCCTGGTCTAGATTACTACTCATGTCTTTTTATTCCTTTAAACTGCATTCCATACAATAGTGGTTTCTTTCGAAAGCCGTTCACATAATCCTAGCACTTGTTTGTACGCTTACATGCAAACAAATAGGTACAGAAATGGTCCCTTTGCCTGTTTGGACCATTTGTGTACCCTTTGTAACCATAAACACTAATGGTATTTGTACCTAGGGGGTTCTATTGCGAACGAATCCTACAGCGTACATCACTAAACTTGCAGCTTGGCGGACAAAAAAATGACTCCTACATTACCGTTTTTGTCTGAGCGTGAACTGAGAATAAAATAATCACCAACTTTAGCTTTTTAAATCAGGTCATTTTGATTACCCTATTTAGCTCCATGAAAACTTCAAATTATTAGAAGCAGTTTATTGCAGTGCACTTCTACAACAGTGCAAATTAAAACCACAATAATAAACATCTTGTTGATGGTGCTTTGTATTTTATTAGCCTTGTAGCCATTATTTGTTCTCCTTACACATTGCATGAGGACGATTTCCTGATCCAGCACACATAGCTGGACATTCTTTCATTTTCTCTTAATCCAAATACACCCAGGAAACATACACCGTGCTGTGAAAGAAGCATAAATAATTAACTACAGTCATCTTTGTTAATTTATTGTACCACATTTGTGGCCACATTCTGTATTCGTAGCATGAAAAGTGGATATGACAACTATGGACATAATTGTAATAAGACTGGTCTGTATTTTTAATTCTTGACTGCTTGTGTTCAGGAAAACCAATAAACACTTCATAAGTTGTCTGCTATGCAAAAATAAATGCCATATACAGTAAATATTGAAGCAACCAACATTGAACAGGAGGTTCTACCATTGTCAGGTCTTATCTGTCTATGAAAAAAAAAATCAAATGTAGTTCAAAGGCTGTAATGTTGAAAGAGAGCCATTTACAGGTAAATATATCATCTGCAAATATAGTGTATATCATACAAATATAAATGTTTTTTAAAAGACACAATCAAAATGGTCTTATCCTGTAACTAGCGTAATGTGTATTATGAGTCATGCACAAAACTTTCTCAGACTTTAATGTTTGATAGAGGATAATTCATCATGACATCATACGATCTTCCGGGTGGTGAAAGATGAAGCTTTCTCTTGAGAAACCAAGGTACACTGCAGCCTTGAGATATGACCAATTCAATCCTTGACCACACGCTTATCTCAAATCATCTTATCTCTTTTATATGAATGAAAATGCCATTGATCCGTTCAAGCCATCCCTCCCTCAAAAGATCAATTCTTGTAATGTTTTTTGTGTGTTTTACATGAGGAAAAGTAAGCACGCCATATTATCGCACTTTATAAAAATCTACACATTCGACAAATAGAGTTAACAAGATTTAAACAGTTGGTGTCACACTACATAAATTAAATGGTGGTTGTGCTGCTCCTCCCCGGTGTGCTCACCATGGCCACCTGGGGGCAATGTAGGACGGATGGTTATGCTGTTCAATGCGACATCTCAACTCACTCAGTTCATCAGTAAGTATGGCACTGATATTAATCGTTCTACACAGAGGATAAAGAATGACTGCATTGTTTTATTTTCTGCACCATTTGAGTTCATTCCAATGCTTAAATGGGGTAAAGCAACACAGCATAGATGCTATTTAGCGTTAGCAATAACATAAACTACCGTTTTGTCTGACAGTAAACTTCAATTAGGAGTGGCAATGAACAGCTTGAAGCCACTGTTCTGAATAATTGTTCATAATTTTATCTGCCAAACTATTTCGGGTTATGAAGTTGAGTCACTGCTTCCATTCGGCACTCGCATCTTAAGCCTGCGCTCACAAGTCAAAGTAGGATCAGTGAGACAGCTCACACCTTGAAAAACTCTTAAACTGAGTCACGAGTATCTCATGGCTCCACTGTGAATGACTTCAAGGAATTAATGATTTTCTTCTTTTAAGGTGATACAGGAAGTTTCACTGCAGATAAACTGTGTGGATGAAAATATGCTGCGTGTCCTGGTCCCCCAAAAAGTTCACAAATGCTCACATACTACCAGAATTCATAAATGATCCTAGCCTTCCACTGTATGATTCTTTTGGCAAGTGATGCTGTTTGACTTACAATCTGTTAAGCTATGGTAGATAGCCTATGTCGCAGTTATCTAAGTAAGGAGGCTACAATCTCTTGACCTTGATTTTTCTCTTGCTCAGTTTGGCACGAACAAACGACAGAGGAATGGATATTGCGCTGCAATGCAACCAAATATTTTACATACTGTCTTCCACAAACCCGATGATGGAGACGTGGTCCTCAGTCTGTCCCTTTGAAACACAATTTATGACATCCATTTGCCTTATTCTCTTCACCTACAGACTCCACTGGATTGCAAATTTCTTTCAAATTTGGGGAAAAAAAAACAAAAAAACCTAGGTTATAGCTGCCAGCGCAACCCAAAACTCAGTGAATTTTTGTCATTGATTCAGTCCATGTCACTGGTAGTCATTCTGCCACCCGGAAGTATCTTAGTGCCTATTGTATACAAATATTCCAAATTGGTCTATAAGGACTACCATTCAGATAATGTACTAGTTATCTAAAAACCCTACTTAAGGTATGTGTGGTTTCCTTAAACACACTATCGCGCTAGCTGTAAACATGTAAGCAGAAGCAGACCACTGGTTGGTTCTAGATTGCAAATGCGACGCTGCAGCAGAAGTCAAACACAGGCTTGCGTCGTAGCTACCATGTGTGGGACTTTTTGTATTCTCTTTTCAGCTTGGACAAATTATTTAGACATTGGACTCAATAAAGGAGCGTTTGGGCTTCATGGGCGCCATATGCAGCGTTGGGTTGTCTCTGGTCAGACTCGCCTGTCTGTGCCTCCCATCGGGAAAATTTAGATGGGACGACATGGTGGCTCTTGCCTCTCGTTGGTGGAGTCGCTCTGCGAAGTCCCGACTCTGCTGGTTGCTGGCGTGACTTCCAGAGAGTGTCTCCTGGAAGGAAGAGCGCTTGTACTCATTGTTCAAGCCCTGGAACTCCATGACTGACATGTTGAAACTTTCCACACCCCCTCCTCCTTGCCCCTGTCGCCCAAAACCTGAGGTCTGCTGGCTCTGGACTCGCACTGCCTTGTCCATGACCCCCATGAAGGGCCGCGGCTTCATCTCGCCTTTGGACTTGAAGCTACCGCTGCTTTTGAGTGGACATGGGGGGTCTAGCACCTGCTGCTTGCCGTTGTCTGACTGGTTCCCACTGGAGGCCTGACTGGAGCTAGAACCCCTGGAACCTGCTGTTCCTGCTCCACCAGCCTCCCTCCTGACTTCCACAACCGAGCCCAGAGCAAGTGCCAGGCCGTCCAGAGCCACAGAGTGTGCCGAGAGTCTGTCGGAACCCCTGGAGAAGCCGGACGAGCGGGGCTGGTACATTTGAAGGGGAGCTGGTGGGGAAGAGCTGCTCGGGGACATGGGGTGGTAGTGTTCGGTGGGGCTGAGCCCGGAATGTTCCGAGTCGAGGGCCAACAAAGGTGCAGGCCTCAGGGAGGTGGAGATGTGTCTCCCTGGCAGAGGACTGGAGGGTCCGCAGAGAGATAGAGGCCTGCCACCCACTCTGGCCCCTGATTGCAGGGAGTGGCAGTGGTGATGATTCCTGCTGCTCTGGTTTTGACATTGCTTGTGGCTAGCAAGAAGCGGGTCAGGCAGGTCCATAAAGAGCAGATTCTGGACATACTCCTCTTGAGGAAAACACACTGTCTGATCAGATAACGCAAAGGCCACACCTCCTGGGAGAGTCCTGTTTGGAGCATATGGATTCAGAGGCCAAAATTCTGAGCCTTTTCCACATTGCAGGCTCAACTCTTCCCCTTCTTCCTCTTCATCTTCGCGCTGCATATGAGACTGCTCTTCTGGGATCGGCCTCTCTAGACTTCCCTGTGAACACACGTCTGCCTCGCCCTCGGGGGTGTGATGGTGGTGGCTCTGAGGGTCCCTGTTGTGACTCTGTGACGTATTACTGCTGCTGGATATCCTCTGATGGTGCGTGCACTCCTCCTCCACTCGTACCAGCAGGCGACGGATCTCCCGATTGGAGGGACAGAGTCGTGCTGCTTCATGGAGGTCTGCCAGAGCCTCAGCAAATTGCCTGGAGAGGACATTTGAATTATATAGTGAAACGCCGCTGTACATCGGTTCACCCATTCACAAGCGCAGAGTTTTCAGCAGTGTTCACAGTATAGAGGCAATCAGAATTGAGAGTTCTGTGCTTTCGGTGTCGTATGCAACCTTCTGCTACAACATGCCGGGCAACACTGAGGTCAACTTGTACAGCTGTAATAGGAGGAAAAACAGGCCAAGGAGGTCCCCAACTTATACTGTAGTCGTCAACAGTCCTAGTCATTGTTCCCACAGAGCAGAGCGAATATGTGATTGTGAGTACTGTTCGATGCTCTGTACAGAATGTTTCCGCTCTGTTTGTATTAAAGCAGCAGTTGTTGGTTTTTACACTTATGTGGTGTTTTGGACTTTCATGGAACAAAATGATATGATTTGGTTGAACATTTTGGTGTTTAAATACAATGCCATTTTTACACGAAACTTGTGTGTTTTAATAAGGTGAAATGTGTGAACAGTATATGGAAGGGGTAAAATGATTTACAGTGGACCCCACATATTTGTGGTTCGGCACCCATGGATTCACCTATTTGCAGGTTATTTTTCAATATTTGTTTGAAAAATCTCCAGTCCATTTCAATTGCTTTCACTTACATGCTGATTTTTTTTCGCTATTTGCAGGCCGGCCAAGTCCCTATCCCACTCGAATAAAATTGGTTTAAATGGTCTCTCTATATTGCAGATTTTCACCTACTGTGGGTGGGCCTTAAACATATACCAAGTGATCAACAAGGATTCGCTCACATTACAGTGCATATTCTCATTAATTCAGCAATAGTATGGATGTACCTGCTACTCCTCTTGGCCCGTGCTCTGGCATAATAGGCCTCATAGGATCTGGGCTTCAGGTCCAGAGCTTTTGTTGCAAAGTCTTCAGCGATGCCAAAGTCCTGAGTTTTCACACCCCCCAAAAAATAAAAAAATCACTTCAGCACAGTTGGTGAATTTTGTCATTCAGCTCATTGTTAGAGAATGGCAAATAAGCCAAAAAAAAGTACAGAAACATTGAACAGTTGGACATTTAAAAAAACATATAGATGGCCAAATTAATTGAAAAGCTTGCAGTGCATTTTATTTTCAATCTGAAATTTCACCAAAGGCCCAAATTTTTGTGAGTTGTGTTTCTTCGATACCGTTTACCGCACCAGACCCTCTGCTAATTTTTCCTACATCTAATAAATCTGTGTTTGCATGATTCAGCCTTACATTGGTTTTCCTTCGGCAGCGGGATAGGTTGAGATAGAGAGACACGCGCAGGTCCTTGAGCCCTTTTAACTCTTCTCCTTGGCCCTCCCGAGGCAATTTTCTCAGAGCGTACTGGTAACGCTGGCCGGCCTCCTTCATACGCCCCTTCTGCTTTCCACATCAAAAGCAAGAAAAAGAAATGGATGGAAAACAGAATGGCATTTTGGTACCCATCAGAACATCATACTTGAAACATGATCGGAACCCTAAAAGGGCTTGTTTTTTTTTTGTTTTTTGTTTTTTTCAATTTCCAAATGAATCCAGCTGAACCTGTGGGTGTTGAGGATAAGTCAAATGGATTTTCAAATAGTTGTCCGGAGAACATTGCAAGACATCCGTCTATTAGCCTGTCCGTCAATAATGTCTGAATTTCCATCACGTCTACTTTTTAATCAGCTTACCTATTGAAATATGAATGACGGCTGGCGCGCCATCTCCATTTTAAGCAATTTTCTCTGTTAAATTAGGCCTCTTTGGTACATAAATTGATAAATGACTTGAGCTAGGCCATTGTGCTGCATTTTTTTCCTGGCACTGCATCTTCCTATCTATCTGCACTCTTGCACACTTACCAGTTGAAACCAGTTAAGACCATCCCAGTCACACATGGGCTAGGCAGAGCTTCCCTCCTGCGGGGGGGGGGCGGCCAAGAGAGTATAAGAGTAGAAACCATTTTGGACAGATGAGCCCTTTTTCTGGATCTGACAGAAAAGGGCTCCATAACCGTGTCTCGATTTTTTTCGCGTGTAGTTTACAAATATCTGAATACTGAAAAATCAGTGTTGATTCAGCACAGACAGTAGACTCAAGGCCAAACCTCATTTTGTGGAGGTAGCTGTTTCATTCGAGTACCTTGTAAAGCAAGTTTCCTTCCTCCATGAGCTTCTGCAGCAAGATGAGAAGGATGTCTGGTTTGGTGGAAGCCATGGCCCATGTGGCGTGACCTGACAGGAGGTCACAAATAATTCTCTTGGGTCTCACCTTGTCTCTGTGACTTGCACCAATGTCCCTACCTGATCGATCATGCGGTGCCGTTCTGTAGCCTTGTGATTTGCATGAAAGATGGAGGAGGAGAAAGGCGAAAAGTGAGATCGTCAAGAGAATGTAAAACTGACTGTTGCGATTTGCTGATTGTTGTTTCCAGAGCAACCACTTGAGCTACAGCTAAACTTTTCTATGTATTTTTGCAATCTGGTGCTTATGGAGTAAAAGCTCCACTAATGGAGGATTCAGTGCAAGGCTGGCACACGTACCGGTCTTGAAGCTTTTTTTGAGTAGCGAGGCCACCAGGGCCGGATTCTGGCAGCCAGGAGTCCGCTCTACTGCCCTGCTTCCGTTGCTGTCCGTCCTCTCTAACACTGCGCCGTGATCTAGCAGAAAGTGTACCTAACCATGAAGAGGAACATACTCATGCAAGTTATTCTCTGATCAATTTAACTAAAACTTTCCTCTTTTATCCTCAGCAGTAATTGAAAATACAATTACAGTGAACCTCTGCCATATTGCGGTTTATCTTTCGCACCCCCGTGAGGAGGAACATTTTATTATAGACATACATTGTGGGGCTCGACAGATTAATCTGCTGGACGATTAAATCGGCCGATATCAGATCTTTTTAAATAGGCAAAACGTTGTCTCCCCCGCCCCACATTAACACATTAAAGGATACACCAATCCAAGGACTTTTTTTTTTGTCATACCAACACTCATTCCCACATGACATGGAACCAAATACAAGCCCTGAGGTGCCAGGTTAGTCCAGCTCATCCCAAGACTTGTGAACAAAACATAAAATAAAATAAATGCGATCGAGATAAGGGTAATGCTTAAGAATGGAAATGCAAGAGGCTTGAATTTCACATATGTACTTGAGATAAGAATAGTGTTCAAGAAGAAAGTGGTCAACGCGCAGGAATGAATGGGGGTCATAAGGCTACGATGATAGTTTGGAGTTTTGTAGTCGTTGAGTTTTGTAGTTAAATTAAAAGTAAGTTTTGAAATCATTTTCAAACTCAATCAAAATAATCCAGATTATTATTTTTTCCATTATCGCCCAGCCCTAGACTGTATATTCTGTTAATCAGTATGTTTATCTATGAAATACTTCCATATTCTCATGAGAACATGCTCAGCCATTTTAGTTACAAAGTAGAGTATCTTTAGATTCTCACTGTGCGTTCATCCATCACTTGGGTATTAACATTCAAGTTTGACTGAATATAATTTTACTTTGAAAGCAAACATATCCCAAAGTATTTAAGGTGCAATAAGATAAATGCAGCACGACACCCACTGTATCGGCATCTCCGTTTAGGGCGGCGAGGTCGAGGGGAGTGCGTCCCTGTCTGTCTGCTTGGTTCAGGTCCCCCCCAGCATCCACCAGATGTTGCAGCACACCTCGGTGGCCCCTCATGCAGGCCCAGGCTGTTGCAGTCAGACTTTCCTGATCCGCGGCAGACACAGAGGCGCCTAATTACATGAGACAGACAGACGATGTTTAAAATAGAGGATGGACGGGTCACAGAAAAGCGTAGAAGTCACTTTCCATGGAAAGGGTCACGGATCAAACCCGTTTTGAATTTTCCGTTCAGCTTCTTTGAGAAGTTGCGCAAAAAGTACTGAAAGATGGAAGAGTTGGAACCCCTAAAAGTTGTAGTGCACTTGAGGATGCTGTTTCGCAGTTCAACTATCGCAGCCCGCTAGATCGCAGCTTAATTGTACCTTGCCATCTAGTGGAAGAGCATTTAATTGTTGTGCATGTCACTCGACAACACCGGCGGAGACAGATGAACACAGATACATAATTTGTAGGAGATAAGTAATCATTTTCTGATGAATAAAGACGCTTACCCTTGGACAGCAACATCTCCACAGTGCTGCCGTGGCCCTCGGAGGCAGCCAACATGAGCGGCGTCCGACCCTGCTTGTCACACACGCTCATGTCCGCGTCGTGCTTTAGCAGCAACTCCGCCACCTGAAATAAGGGCATTAGATTTGCTTTAATCAAATCCAGAAGACCCGGATAAGCTTAAAGATGATTTCATATCCTGTGAAGAAGAATCAACTGTGATGCAAAAGCATCCGCCCTGAGCTTCTCTTTTATACATTTATAAGTCACACCCCATTAACTTCACTAAACATTGACTGTGCCCTATCTCGGAGGTGTCGTTTGCATAACGGGTGACACCACATTGTCGTAATAGTTTCCCTGAGAAGACAGGACTGTTAAAACCCTTTTGAATGTTAGGCTGTGGGACCAAGTGTGAGAACCTGTTTGTTCTTGATACCCCCCAGAAGACAATTGCCTACAGTGTTCATAGGCAATAACTGTCTCACTTCAACATAGTTCCTTGGCAACAAGATGGCGGCACCGCACTACATTTGTCAAAATGAAGCTCCTCAACCCACTCGAACATAGTTCCTTGGCAGCGATGCACTACTTTTGTCGAAATGAAGCTAAGTCACTTCAACATACCTGTAGTTCTTTGGGAACAAGATGGCGACAATGCATTACCTTTGTTTAAATGAAGCTCCTCAACTCACTTCACCGTAGTGCCTTGACAACAAGATCGCGAAAATGCACTCTTTTGTCTTATGAAACTCTTCAACTCTCTTCAACATAGTTCCTTGGCACCATAATAATTCCAAAGAAATATTTTTACTGAACTGTCCCACTAACCACAAACATACTCAATAGTCTAATCAGTTATTAGTCAGTATTAAGCAAGTCACATATGATTGGTGTTGGGCCGAAACCTGATAGGTACAATTTTGGTCAAATACATATTTTTTCACATATTTATCCTATTGGTGAGTCCCCACCTGGGTCCGTTATTTTGACAAATTTTTGAACAATCTAAAGTGTCAAAATTCACTTGCTCTCTTTGACGATGCAGTATTCATGGCTCAACAAGACTATCATTATTTTGGTCTCTTGAAAAATGATGGTTTTGGAGATCCAAAGGTTTGGCTCGACGAATGTGAGTCTTGTTGCTATGATTATATAAATTGTCCATCAGAAAATCAAGTAGCCCAATGCAGTTGCACTCAGTGTGTCTTGTCACCTGTGTGTGTCCGTGTTTGGCTGCGCTTAGGAGGGGGACCATCCCTCTGCGGTTTGGCACCTCCAACCCTGCCCCTCGGTCCAAGAGGAGCATGCACACCTCCAGCCTCCCCCTGCCTGCTGCTGCACTCAGCACTGTAAAGAGAGAGTGCTGCGATGAGATAAGGTGGACAAGAATTTATCATGGAGACAGAAGTAGAAACTAAAGGAAGAGGCCATTTGTCATACTTAGCCTCGCAAAGAAAATGTAACTGTTTTCAATCAGGACTTGTGCAGTGTGATGTAGGATGTTCTCTTCCAGTAACCACACCAGAGAAGCAGCAAAATAATTGCTTTTTAAAGGCAAATTAGTATGTTGGTATGTAAATGCTGCACATTATTCTGCACACAATTCACATTATTCTGCACCCAAAAATATAGACATTACTTTTACTACTTCCACATTTCGCATCCAATTCAGACCATTCAAACTTTGTAATATTCACAAATTTGACGTGAGAAATTACATTGCAAAAGTCACAAAGCACTATTAATCATTAAAAAAATAATAAATAACAATGCACTGTTAGCATTTGAGTTTTTCATCTAAGTGGAGCAGTAACAAAAAGGCAGCCAGCAGGTCGCAGTCACCAAACAGGACAATAAAATGATACCCAAGTATGGAGGAGTCTGACCATTGAGGCCTCTATAAGCAACTGTTCAAATTGGCTGAAAGTGAATTCAAGCACCTCTGTCATGGCCCTGCCAGCATTTCCTCAAGCCCAACAAAGATTAATGGTCATGCAAATGTGAACATTTGAGAGGCTACTTCATGCAAACAAGCTTTCCATCTCATCACCGTGGCACTGGAGAGTACAGCGTAATAGAATTACTCTCTAATGGAGCTGCGAGTACAGACAGCAGAGACCTCTGCGATGCTTTCAGGAAATGGAGCTAAACTGCGCTTGCTTTTGCAATAATGGGCAAAGTGTTACAATTGACGAAGACATGCTGCAAATGTGGCAGAACGGCGCGTTCTTCCTGATCTTCCATTTTCACACCAAAACAACCGAATCAACAGTTCATCAACAGTAGAACCATAGGTAGGCACAGAATTGTGGTTCTCTTCTATTTTTGCAGAATTCTACCTTGGACTAATTGATGTTGATCATTTCAGACAAATAACTTTGCTGTACATGCACATTCGAGGTGGGAAGGTTTTTATATAGCACACAACTAACTCTTATGTCAGGCCGGTCAAATGGAAGAAAGTAGCACACAGAAGGAAGGGAGAACGCTAAATGGAGGTGAGTGATGGAAGAAGCGCACCCGTTTCTCCCCAGAGAGAATCGTGAGCGTCCATCTGCACTGCCAGCTGTTCATCTTCCAAGTCCAGCAGGCTCTTTACCACCTGCAGAAAAAAACACAATTAAGTCTCCTAGCTTTGCCGTGTACTGATCAAAAATAAATAACATCTCAATAAAAGCAAGGACGGACACTGTGCTCCACATCAGTAATTCCCCAAGCACTTCTCCAGGAAAATAACTAATTCCACTGAATCGGTCAGAAAATGACCATTTGTCCATCCTGATCTATCTATGCAAGCGGCAAATAGTGTGACAAGTAAATGCGTTTCCACTAGATGGCAGAAGGTGTAATTAACCTGTGTATCACCCGTTTTTCTATTTCGAGAGCAAGTCAAACAACAGGCCAACATTTCACACTGTGAACATGCACAGTTTCACTGTATAATATCATTGCTTGTAGATGTCAACAAATTAGGCCTAAATGAAGCTCCTCAACTGACTCAACTCAATGTGGTTCCGTGGCAACAAGATGCTGCCAAATCGTACCAACGCATTACTGTTGTTGCTTTTGCCTGAGCACAAAAATAGTGATTCAGATGAATGTCTCAGAAAAAACAAATCTGCAAATAAGTCAAATTGGAAATGCCAAATCCCAAACGAGTTTCCAGACTGCCCCTAAATGGTGACATTTTGCTTTTAAAGTATGGGACAGTGCAAGTAAATTTGTCATCCACTTGTGCAAATGGGACCAGTAAATATTTTGATTATTTTATTTTATTTATTTATTTATTTGGATACTTTTCTGCTCCATACTTGGGAATCAAAAGACTTACAACCGAAACAAGCCCGGCATAGCCAGGATGTTGTGATGATGCAAGAAAGTCCGGGTTAGGCTCATGTCATTGGCTTCAGCTTACAGACCCACAGGCAGACAGCCGTTCACTCTCACAGTTACACTGCCGTTGAGTGGGAACTGAACAGATGCTGAAGACACCGAAATCAGGCAAACCAATTCAATACGACTGCAAATATGCTCACAGAGTGAAATTTGCTGAGAATACTTGCACTGCCAGTCTAAATACTAGCTTTACATTTTTAAGTATTTCAGATCTATTGCTTATACTTAGGGTTGACTGTATGTTGTGTCAAAACCTGCGCAGTAAAACATGATTTGAAAAGATTGTTTTTATCAGAAACGCAGGGAAAATGGAGCGGTAAATTGACAGTTTACCGCGTGCACCCCTAAATTTTCATCCAGCGCTCTTAAAGTTTGAAGGTGTGCTCCGGGTAAAAAATGTTTGTCTGGTGCCCTGTCGAAAATTAAGTGTTCACTGTACAGTGGTGCCTTGAAATGACAGTTTAATTTGGGAAAATCAGTTTAAAAATAAATAAATAAATAAATAATGATAAAAGAGTTTGTCGTCGGTGTTGTGTACCTGTGTGTGTCCCACGCTGGCTGCAGCTGTGACCGCTTGCTGCACGGCCTGCTTTTTCCCAGTGGTTATCTGGTGCTGCTGTGGATCAACGGCGTTTTCGGGCCCCCAGTCCTGTCCCAGTAAGATGCCGATGATCTCCGTGTGGCCCTTCAGCGCACCGTGGAGCAGCGCACACTGGCCATTCTTATCAGCCTGGCCCACCTGGCAAATAGAGGAGCACGCCGAGGGATTTGCGCTGGTCCCGGGCATTGCTTCCAACACACTGGCCTAGATGAAGCCTGCTGTTGTCATCTGTCTCCCAGAATAGATGCCGCAACAGGGCAGGCCAGCCAGCCAATTGCCTGGGGCCGTTTGAGCATTTACTCCAGATCCTTGATATTCAGCTTAAAGTCCATGGACTAGTACTGTCCACTCGCTGCCTGTACTAGTTGGATGGCTGTCTTGCTACACTTTTTCCACACTATTCTAAGGTGTGTTTGCACACTGGTAGAACAACTACATTTTACGAGTGAGGCAACATTGTACACTAGTTGAATTGCACTTCTGGTACTAGTACCAGTACTACAAATGAAGTGCTACATTTTAACTATTCAAATTTTATAACGTTATTCGTAGTACCAGAAGTAGAGTTGGGCATCAAGAATCAAGTGGAACTGGGACTGACATTGCGGTTCTCCGAAAATTGTTCAGATTTTAAAATGTCGGTGCAAAATTTTAGCTTAAGGTCCTACTAATAGGCAAAAAGTGGTTGTAGTTGCAGAAAGAAAGGTGAATTGTCTTACTAGTGAGAACATAAACTGTAGTAGTACATGGACCATAAGCAGGATGTGAAGCTCAAAGGGTTTTCTATAGATACACAACACGCACACACAAACACAGACGTGAGCTACGGACCTTGGCCCCTTTCTTGCAGAGCAGGCTGACAACATCCGCGTGTCCCGCGGCTGCCGCCAGGCACAGGGGTGTCACGCCGCTGTCCGTGCTCACGTCTACGGCTGCGCCCATTTCCATCAACAGGCCCACCATCTCCACATGTCCCAGGTGGGCGTGAACGGCCAGAATGGGGGCGTGTCCCACCACCTCAGTAAACCAGCTCACATTGGCGCCACCAAGCATCAGCAGACGGCTCACCTACAGGACGTAGAAGGAGAATTGACAGTGCATCCACACTTTATGTTTCAGCCTTTTTCTAAAATGGAGTACTTTTTTTCCCTTCAAAATTCTATACATCACACCCCATAATTATATGATTTTTTTTTGGGGGGGGGTGGTCTCTGAATAGCTTCTCTCTGCACTATACAATCGTGCACGCATAATAGACCTTCCTTTGTGAAGGTCATCATTTTATTGAACTCAGCAGAGAGGTGATATGTTCTTATAAATCAGGCTTGTGTGTGATTGAGTATTGGCTATCACTGCCGTGCCTGCCCTAACTGAGATTAATGGGATGCCGTACAACACAGGTGTCAAACCCAAGGCATTGGGACCAGAACCGACCAGAAGATACTAAAGCTTATTAAGTGTGTCTTAAGTAGGGCCCGCCCAATTAGCACTTTTCAAATCAGGCAATATTTCTTTCCACGTCTCACTTCTACTCCATGTCCGGCTGTTCGGGCACAACATTTTCCGCATCCTGAGCATCTGGCTCATACATGTATGGTCCAACATACATCTTGCCAACAACCTCCTCTTCCTCCAACTCTTCAAACACCCGAATCCCCTCAGATAAGTTTGAAACGTCGCTTTCCGAATCGATTTCTGACTGGCTTTGTGCACTTTGTACCCCGCTATTGTTGTCTTGATGTAACGTCACACTTGCGGGTTTGTCGCTCGTCACGATCTCGTTTCGGGAAAAAGGATTACTTTGTCGAATTTACAAAATAGAAAAAAATGTTTCATGCTTTATTTGATGTATTTTGTTGAATTGCTTTACATTTGACATAAAGACATTTCATTTGGGATTTTCTAACATTACATCACTCTTGACTTTTAACACATTATGGCATAAGACAGCGAAATTCAAACAGTAACAGTAGCATTTTGCCTATTTTTCTCTGTTAAGTTAAACAATAATGGATAAAGTATTGCAAAACAGTCAAATGTTCTGTCTGTAAGTCATATTTTTGTTGCAAGATTTAAAATTATTTTATTCATGATACATTTTTAAATATTAATCGGCTGAATGAAATTCCGATAATCGGAATTTGACTCGGACAAATATCAGAATCGGCATCCGCCTCAAAAAAATGAAAATCCACCGGCTGGGCTCTAAAAAAACATTATTTTCTCATGTATTCCCATTTTTTTCCCGCTGAAAATACAATTTTGCAGCCGTATGCGTGTCAAATGTCACCTTGATATTCGGCGTGTACAGGTTCCTTAGTGATGCGAGTGCAGCGGACAGGCTGTCTGTGCTGCAGTTCACCCACATGGCCTGCAGGACAGTGGAGGACACCCCGGTTTTTTTACTCAGACCCTGTAGAACCAAAAGGGAAAGAGAGAAATGTAATATTGTGCGATGCACAATATGAATGGCGTCAAGGTATACAAGCCTCGGATTTCTGAATTGCCTTCAAGTGTGCCTTTATGTTTTGCACTTGTATGTGTTATTTAGGTATGTACTGTAGGTTATCTGTGTAACTGAAAAAGCAACAAACCGTTTGTGGTACAGATAAGGGAGACACCATTTGATTTTGGTAACAACAAATAATGTACACTCGTTCATCTATCTATGGTTGTGACATACGGTGACAAGCACAACAACTTAGTGTGCTTGCTATCTGTTGTCATTCGTACAATAGAATAATATCTCTGCATTTTACGAAACAGGCCCAGATTTCATAATTGCTACACGATATGAGGTGTTTTTGCCCTGGCTGAGGTCTAAAGAGACTCAAGAGGGACCGAGTTCACAGACTTGCTCACCTTGAAAATGTGTGCCTTGAGGATGTGGTGTCCCAGTTCCATGGTCTGCTGACGGTTCAGCTTGCCATCCTGTCTGGAGAACATGAACGCCAGGAGAGCGTGGCCGCTCCTGTAGACATGCGTGCAGTTTCACCAAACAAAAACTTCCTTTGTTACTTTGAATCTTATCTGGAGAATTGTGTGAGCAAGAGTCTTCTTTTCAGTTCCTCAAAGTGACGTTATACATTTCCCATTTCTCGACAGCACAGCCACTAACAAATACTTTTTAAAGTGTACTTTTAAAATGATTTTTTTTTTATATGGTCACTCTATATCCCAGATTTTTACCTATTTGGAATTATGCTGTTTCATAAACGTGGGTTCACTGTATTCTGGTGTTCAATCTGACCTTGGGTCACAGAGGAAGTCGGTGCTTTCTCCATCTGCCCTCCAAACGAGCCACTCTCTGAAGGAAGGATGGCACAGCATGCGTGTGCCATCTCTGCGTCTCACCTGCCGGCAGGTGCAAGACACACAACAACTTGTGAACTTTAATTAGTCGGCTTCCCAAAAGGCAGGTTCGTCCTTAATTGCCCTTCCTTGTAGATTTAAATAACAGGCGCTTGGTGCTTACCAACTGAATATCATAAATATTAGGGGTGAACATTGATAATCATCAGATAGAAAAGTACAATCTTTTGTACTTGGTGCCTCTGTGTTTCCGAACTATGCACAGTATGTTTGTAGAGGAAAGTGTGAATCTTTTCGAGCAAAATTAAAGCAATAGCGATCCCATGAGATTTGACTGTCTGTAAAACGGTCGGTATATCTCGAAGCAGCAAATGATTCTGAAGCATCTTCACTAAGCACATTCAATATGGCGGAACTGTGAGATAAGACCTATTTATTCAACTTTATATTTGATGTTTTGCCACTTAGTTTAGGCTTTGATGTTCAGTTACATCATTAGTCTTTGAATGTTCAAGAATCAATATTTTTGGCAGAAATAGAGGGGCCCAAAATGTCATTTTGCTCGGGACCAGCTCCGAGTCTCACCATGAATCCAGCCAGGCTGTCTAATCTCTGATGAAAGTCCTTCCATTCCAGCTCACCCCTCACGCTGCCCGCATTGAGTGCCCGGAACATTTGCTCATCTGTCAGCGGGTGCAGCGACGCCAGGGCCACATTTAGCACCGGAAGCACTCGCTCAAAGACGTCTTGGTCCTGGAAGCTCACGCGGCACATCAGCAGGTACACCTAACACAGGTTCACATCTTAAAATTACCACTGATGACAGATAGACAGCGATCCTAAAACTAAACAGTGCATGTCAATGCGTAAACATTTGGGAATGTTGATGTGGACATGTGGCATCATGAAAAATTCGCAAATTTGGGGCATGTGAAGAATACTGTTCTATTTTCCCCAAATTGGATGAATCAGTTGTGGAATGTCAAAGTGTATTGTTAAATGTGGAACACGTCTCCATTCATTTCAGTAGGATCCTCTTCATATAAAATGTGGAAATGTGGGAAAAGGAGGAATTGGAGAGATAAGAAAATAGGGTCCCCAGATATACTGAATGAGGTAAATATTTTAAAGTTCGTTTCGGCGGAGAAATGTGGAAGGAGTAGAGCGGCATAAATCGGTGTAATAATAAGAAGATGAAGAAAAGTTCTTCAGCATATACTCAATAATGATCCCAAACAAACAAACACATTGCATTTAGCATGGCAAGCGTGCAAAGCTTTCATGCAGTCATAAAGTCGTCCTGCTTTCAGGCCTTGCTCATCTGCTGCTCTCTCTCATATTGGTGATTACGCAACATCAAAACACGTCCGTCACTGGCTGGAAGCTATTTCCGTGCCCTTTCTAGAGCTTTCATCCTTGATCACAGATTTGACAACCTTGTGTTTGTGCACAACATTTTGGAACAATGGCAGCATCCCCCCACCCCCATCGCTACCACCACACACATATTTACACACACATATCCTATCCCACAGTTGCTCTGCGGTTCTTTTGGTTTTTGTCAACTTTGGGCCTCGTTCATCATCAACAAATGCACTTTTGCGAGAACTCCATTGTTTTCTTCTCAGGGACTTGTTCCCCGGAACACGTTCAACAGCATGCTGTTAACTTTTATTGACGGCTTGGTTGAAGAAAAGAACAGAATTTCTTGGATAAAATTTTAAATGAAAACTTTGAGCAAATTGAAAATGTTTTGGAGCATAGCATGTCCTTTTTTTTTAATTGAACTTTTGCTCACATTTTTGAACACATACCAAAATACCTGTGTCATACTGACAAAAAAAACCTCTCAGGCTCACCCAGAAAACAGTCGCACACAACAAACTCTCTCTCACATACACATGCGAAACCTCTCGCTCATGTAAAAAAATCCTCACAAGGAGAAAAAAAACTCAGCCAATCACCCCAAGCCTCTGTTTACCATAAAAAACATGTACCCCAAAAAACTCACACAAAGTAATGCTTACGTTGTTTACAAAGAACTCACTCCCACCATAAAACCTCTCACACTCACCCAACACCTGAAACAATAAACCTGACACATACCCTGAAAAACTATTAACCAACAAAAAACACTTAGACTCACCAAAACCTTTCACACGTAACAAAACATCTCACACGTACCAAAAAAAAAAATCACTTACAGCCAAAAATATCTCACACACAACCCAAAAACTCTCAATCAAACAAAAAACTCACTTCACTCACGCTGAAAAGAACTCATGCTCACCCAAAAGAAACCTTTCACATACAACCCAAAAAAACTCCCTCACTCATAAAATATGACATTCACACCCAAGAAAACTTTCACTCACATCCCCCGCCCCCCAAAAAACACTCACCACAATCTCACACAAAAGAAAAATGTGTTCCAAAAAAACTCACTCACACAAAATCTCATATTAAAAAAAAAACACTCACAAAACAGAAGAATCCTCATACTTGCCCAAAAAATCTCACAAAAATAAAAAAACTTCATTCACCTAAATTCATTTTACACAAAAACCTTTACTCACACCAGAATAATCTGAAACCCACAAAATACTCACTCAAAATACTACACCCAATAAAAACTATCACAAACGACAGAAAAACCCTCACATGCACCAAAAAGTGTTCGCCTTTACAAAAAAGCAAACTAACACAAAAAAAAAACAAAGAACATCACACTCACCAAAAACCTCACATACACACCAAAAACCCTCTCGCACTCACCAACAGAACTCAACCACAGAAAACGAACCTCTCAGTCAAACCAAGTAAAAGTCTGAACCCCCTTATTTGAACAGCACACACACTGTGAACTATTGACCGGCTGACCTCCGATAGTGACACGGGCACAACCAGGTAGTTTCCCCCTTTTAGTGCCAGATGGCCTTTGTGAAACAGATCCAGGGTCAGCTGCAGGTAGAGGATGGAGCCATTGCTGCGTGTGGTCAGGTGACTGCTGAACTTGCTGAGGAGCAGCGGGTCGGGGGCGGAGCCTGTGGCCGTGGTGACGTTGGCCGCGATTTGGGCACTGCCGTTCACCCGGTGATGGATGTAGTCGCTGAGGTCAGCTCCCAGGTCGCTGCTGTCGGGCAGGATGTCCAGCGAGATGCCGGAGAACGGGAGCAGGGTGGTTATTTCCTGCAAGAGGGAGAGGGGAAAAAAATCCAGTAATTACAGCAGACAATTGATTATGTTTTTATATTTTGTTTCATATGCATATTTATGAGTATGTATTATCATATTACATAATTTATAATGATTTTTCCTTATTGTTTTCCATATCCCATACAATTCATTTAGATTATTATATTCTGCACCAAAATTCTTTTTTATTCCGCCCACTTCCTTCCAGTCCAAAACCTCCACATTTCTCAATTGATTACAGCTACTCAAATGGCAAAAGATTCACAAAATTTCAGTGTTACACGTTCCAAAAATTCCCACTTTCCCGAGAAGTTCCACATCCACACAAAAAATATTTAAGTGAATAAGCCATTCAATGTTAAAGAAAAAGTTTCCCATCTTTTCCAATCCATAACCAAACTGTTCAGCTCATTCAGAGCATCTTGCAGGCTATTTTCCCCATTCCAATAATTCCCACATTCACAAAATTCCACACTTTTCACAAGATTATTCCCAAATTAAGAGACACTACATCTTTACATTTTAGAAACAAAGGTACCTCGACTTACAAGTTAGTTATGTACCTTGAACACAATGGTACCTAAAAATCATATCTCGAATCATATATCCCCATTGAAAAGAATGCCATTGACGGCTGTAGAAGTGCAAAGGTCAAGAGTTTTTACCTCGGCTGGCAGTGGAAGGGTTAATCCATTCCAGCTCGGCCAGACAGAGCTGTGCAATATTGCAGACATGCATAATACATGAAGAGTTTCACACCTGACTCAGTAAACTGCAGTAATAGTTGTCTACTACAGAGGATAAAGAATATGCTCCTGTGAGTACTGACATATTGTCTGTCGACATGTGTTGCTGTGCACTGTGCGCCACCCACAATGTGTAATTCTTTTTGTTTTATGTTCACTTTTCCAGTAAACTTCAACAAAAAAAATCGTGCTCGATCTGCAAAACTGCTACTTGTGAAGTGAGTTGAGTTGAACTTCCACATTACTTGAGAGATATGAACCAATTCAACTTCAGGTATCATGTTCAACATTTCAAACAATTCCATGGCATTTCAGTTCGGCATCAGCTCTTACGCATTCATGTGCAGTTTCTAAAGAAAGTGCACATTTTAGTTGTTATTGTCGACTCATTGAAACACCTGTCACAATGGGATTCAGCATGTAAAGAATTCTACACTGGGTCTTTAGTGCACAGCTAAAAGCACTTAAATCAGGACCCATTTGCTCGGATGTCGCTGAGTCACGCAGAGCCATGGCATGCAGTACAGGAAACGGTGTGGCAATGACTCAAGCAGCAGCACAGCTCACAAGCTTCTTCGCTCAATTCACACTTTCAAAACCAAAGGTCAGGGCTAGCAAGGCCTTCTCTGCTCTAAAGTAGCACTAACCTACATTTACAACATCAATTCTAATATTTGTTTCATTAAGTTATACGAATAAAATACTCTTAACTCATTTGGTGCCTTCTGCTTAGCTACACTGCTTCTGGGAAAAGCGCATGACAGATTGTTGTTCAGTCATTTGTTTCCACGTCAACCTAATCTGCCCACCCAGGTGTTCAGAATCAAGAGTGCTGGCCCATTCCGTTGTCAATGCCGCTTACCCTGAATAGGGCCGTGAGGTGGTGGTGGGTGGGACGGGGGCGCAGGAGCCTATCGCAGCTGACTTCGGACTGAAGAGGGAATACACCCGGAACTGGTCCCCAGCCAATCGCAGGGCACACATAGACAAACAACCATTTACACCCACATCCATCCGAGTGGAGACCGATCCCACGCTGCCCGCACACGAGTCAGGCGAGTGTGCCACTACCCCATCAGTGATGAGTGCTGGCCCATGTAACCTAATTTGGCAATGGGATTGTCAGGTTTTAATTTGCCTCCCAGGGCCATATCAGCATTATTCCGTTCTGATTGGTTGGTCACGGCAAAATTTGTTACAACCAACTTACAACAAGAATAGCATACCTGTAGCCATGCACACACACCCTTTATATATTAGGGTGACAATATTTGGATTTCCAAAAAAGAAGGCACTCGCCTCGGCCTCAAGCTACTGAAATGATACTCAAGGCTCTCATACGTTATAACTCTTAATAATTTAAAGTAAGGCTGCATTACCGGTATTTTGGAAAAGCATGCAATATGCGATATGCGTGTTGCATTTTACAATATCAATGATATTGCAATATTTAACATGTACCTAAAGAAATTACATCTTTATTATCTAACAAAGAAATCTTTTTTCATGAGAAAAAATAATAAATGCTCTGTATTTTTATCTAAATAAGTTCTTTAGTCGCAGCAATGTCCCGACATATATATATTATTGTTCTCCTATTGGGTGGCGGTGCGGATTAAAGATTGCATTTGATTGGTCTAAGTTAGACTGAGGCCTGCATTTTCAATGAATTTAGTGCACATCTTTTGCATTCTGCACTGCATGTGCCATTATTACAATGACAATATTTTTTTCAACATATTGTGCCTGCCATGTATGGATAAGAAATAAAACATCCGTCCATTATCCAAGCCCCTTCAGTAATAAAACTGTACTCTCACAATTTAACAAAACATCACTTCTGTCTGTAGTTTTCTTCCTCATAATTGTTTTCTTCTCCACCCTGTGTTCCTGGTGTCTAACAATTAAGGACAACTTTGCATTCTTTGAACTCTCTCCTCATGCAGCTTTTTGGGTGTTTTTTCTGTGTCAATATCAGCTTTGAGCTCTCCGGCCAGCACCTTTATTAGACATTGAAACATTTTCCTGCGAGTTTTGCACACTGTTACCTTTATCGTGTATTGTCACGGTCCTCAACGCCGAACCGTTAGTCAGCGGCGGATTGACAGCAGTTGTATTTGGCTTCTTCAACAAGTCAACATAACGAACCTCTCGTTCCAGTGACTTGAACCACAGCGTTGAAACACAGACGAATGAACGGGATGTCATTCCATCTCGTTTCAGCAGCAAACGGTTGGCCTTCACACTTGTAACTGAACACACCTATTCCACACGCTTGCCCTGACTGCTTCTGCTTGCCTTCTCTTTCGGATTGTTCCCGCCTCGCCAGTGTCAATGTCACACGCACCAATAACGGCAATACTACGCCTCATTTAAAAAAATAAATAAATAAATGAAACACATGCTAATTGGTCCCAAGAGAACCAATTAAAGACTGACATTTTCATGAATTTATAAAATCCTCCCAGATGACGCCTGGACAGAGTTTAAAAAAGTGGACATGTCCGGGCAAAAAAAAAGGACATTTGGTCATCCTAATATACATATATGGAAATCTATTTTTTTCTGAGACCCCCCCCCAAACCCCCACAAGCCCTCACTTGGCCCCAGGAGAGAAAAAAATCCTGGCGTCGTGCCAGCCTGTGGCATCAGCACTCTGCCAGCCCTTGCAGTCAACATACATCTGACATTTCGCTGGTGTCGGGCGGAATCCTTTTACCTTCAAAACATCACTTTTGAGGAGAGCCCAAAAAGGGCTTGTTTGCTCAACTATTAACATTGCTTCGTCAAAGCGAACAAGCCATTTCCAACACTAAACATTGGTCAATACTTTGTAAGTAAAAAAACAAAAACCAAAAAAAACACCCACACATGGACTCACCAATGATAAATATTTGTAAAATAATAATAATAACAATAAGAAGAAGAAGAAGAAGCAAATTGTGACATATGAGGGTTTTGCCCCAATGCGAGCAAGATATAACTGTCAATGGCAGTGAATGTTTAATACAGTGTCACTATTTGCAAGTTACTGTTTCGCAGATTTTTTTTTTTTACACCATTATTTGGTAAAAAAAAATGTGCCCATTCGCTCTTTTTGTGCACTAAAAGACCCCACAAAGTGGTGCCAAAAGCCCGTCTTGGTTCAGAGAAACCACATTATGTTGAAGTGAAACATCTCAAGTGAGACCGTTTTCAGCAATTTGCTGGTGGTGTCACTTGTGATTTTTGTTTGTTTGTTTTTGACTATTAAGGCTTGGTCCCTAGCCACAAAGAGTTTTTCTCATGTTTTTAGATTAATATTGAATGTGAACTTCCATATGCTCTATGTAGCACGATTGTGTTCGGTTACATTGCTTTTTGGTTTAGTACGGATGTTTCTACGAGTTGTAATGTGACAGTCGTGGTATTAAGGGGTGGATTAAGTTGGATAAATCCTCACTGAAGGCCCAGATACCGAATGGACCACTCGCCACCCGTCCAAAACAGTGAGTGAAATTTGTTATGGACGAATGCTCCAACAAGATCTGAGAATGACAGGGAAGGTAGGATTGTTGGTGTGTCTTCCATCTTTTTCAATTATCGAAAGCCGCTGACTTGTAATGCATCATTGCCAGCGTGGCCTCCGAATGCATTTGGAGCATTCCAAATCACTAATTCAATTATATAACCGACTGGCTGCTTGACAAGCTCCAGACTCGCAACTGACTCCGCATAGCACTGACATGCATTCACGCTATAATCCACACAGCATTTGGAGTTTTTGGCTTTGGCTTTTGACAGATGCAGCCTCTGTTTGCCGGGATTAGCGAGTGGATTGAGCAAAGGCACCATGTGCCAAAAGCCACAACGTGTATGCCATGGAAGTAAGACTGTGTGTCGAACATCTCAACAAGGGAAGTGTAGAGAGATAATGGTATGAAGAATGCCACAGAAATGCTTCTGTCAGTTCGGTTTCAAGTGGCGAATAGTCCTAATTGGTGTAGAGGAAGAGTACACCCAGGACTGGTCGCCAGCCAAACGCAAGGGCACATTGACGAATAGTCCTTGAATTTCACCCGCAAATCCAATATCCTGAACTTTTTTGGAGGAGTGTGTGTGTCCTTTGGGAGCCGATTTGCATGATATTATGATGTTTGCTCTGTGGATGGACTCACCAAGAGGCCCGTCCTCACTGTGACCACCAGCTTGAGCCAGACAGGGAACTTGGAGACGATCTTGGTGATGAAGGTGGCGATGGTGTCCCCGTAGTCTGGTTTATGAAATTCGGCCTCGTTGAGACTGTCAACCAAGATGATGTAGTCTTCTTCAGGCAGCCTTCGCTCTGAACACATATGGAAAGGCAAATAAATTGTCTGTGATGAAGTATCGACACCGCATATTTCTCTCCTGGAAACAAAACAAAGATGGGCTGTTTGCGATAAAAAATACAGAACAGGCACTTGTTGTATAAATTATAGTTGTTCAAAGACCAATCCTCCAAAGTATGTAAACACCAGCTAGCTTTTGAGCATCCCTCATGATGACTAACTTACAGAGCAAATATTAATGATGAAATAAGTTTCACAATTGTGTCGTTCTTAAAACATTTAATTTTAAATAGTGGTAATTATGCTGTGAAATTGTGCCTCTCAGCATAAACGCAATTCTGGCACTCAAACAATGCACACCTGGTACTCATATTATCAGGAAAAGACATAGCCAAGGTTTTCTTTTTTAAATATCGCGAGATTTGTTCTTGACAGTATAGCTCATAGGAACAAAGCTAGCATGTATTTTCGAGCAAAGAAAACTAGATTAGCATTTTCCTTGCAACTCTTTTTCTGAACATTTTAATATATTAGTTTTTATGTAAAATGGTACTTTTTCTAATTGGAAAGGACTTTTCTGAAAATATGTTTATTAGCTGCCTGAGTAGCTGTTGAGCCAAACACAGCAACATATATGATATGATAATAAAATCTCATAAAAACTGTACCGTTAATGGTTGACCAGGATGAATCAAGTAATGTTACTCTACCTACATCTAAAAACCATGCGGTCCGTTTTTCCAAAAAAGGGAATGACCCATATGCTCTATGTACTGTACTTTATAATAGCCTGGGTAGTGATTCAAATATGCACATTTTAGTGTTCTAGCAAGTCTATGTTATGAAACCAGTGCTATTGATTACATCCTGCTGGAAAGGACTAGATGGCGTCGTCGTTTTTTTTTTTTTTTTCCTCAAGCAAGGACTCCATCTTGTTTTGTATTATCGAAGCTGTCAATGCAGCTATGAGGACTCACATGCTCTCAAGAGGCACAAGGGCTCTTCATTTTCTCCCTAACCTGCTTAATGGAGACGGAGGAGACATAACACTCCTTTGTTTAGACTCAGTCGGGCTGGGCCATAATAAACACATCAATCTAGCTTGACTGGCTGTATCATAAGACAGTGAGCTGGCTATTATGGCCTAAGCATTCCAACGCTCCTGCCTCAGCGTATTGAGCGACCTTGAAATCCGGTGGGATGCTGATGAAACACCAGGGCAAAAATAACACTTACTCTTTCCTCATGCAAATGATCAAGCGTCGCTTTCTCACTTTCCTGGGACCCAAATTAGTGACTTCATCGGTCAGCCTATCATAGAGTGCACACATCGCTATATGACATTCTTTTTTTTTTTTTTAAATGCTATTTAAGGTAAGAAAAAGATAAGAAAACCTTTATTTGTCTCACAATGGAGAAATTCCCAATTTACAGAGGCAAAAATTATGAAAGGGAGAAGTAGAAGAACAAAAAGCATATAAGTAAATATAAATTATAAATTATAAATATAAGCATTTCATACATGACATACAGAATAGTTACTATATAATCTGTGAAAATGTTTACTAAATGTTTATTATGTATGGTGTTTCACATTAGAAGTCAGCATTCAGCTAGCAGACTGCCCTTTGATGAATTATGTGGTTTGGTTGAACATTTTGGTGTTTAAATATGAATGAACTTTTGTTGTATGCTCTGTTTTTGTGTTACTGCTGCATGTGGGCGGCGGGCCGGTGCTGCAGTGGTTAGCGCATCAACTTCACAGTGCAGAGGTACCAGGTTCAATTCCAGCTCCATGTGTGGAGTTTGCATGTTCTCCCCGGGCCTGTGTGGGTTTTCTCCGGGTTACTCCGGTTTCCTCCCACATTCCAAAAACATGCATGGCAGGCTGATTGAACACTCCAAATTGTTCCTAGGTGTGAGGTTGAGTGCAAATGGTTGTCTGTTTGTGCCCTGCGATTGCCTGGCAACCAGTTGAAGGTGTCCCCCGCCTACTGCCTGAAGACAGCTGGGGATAGGCCCCAGCACCCCCTGCGATCCTTGTGAGGATAAGCAGATCGGAAAATGGATGGCTGGATGGATGCTGCTTGTGGTAAAGTAGCAGTTGTCTGAAAATGTATTACCGGTACTCAATAACATTATTTGGTTTAACATTTTGGTTTGTAAATATACGATGTTCTTGAAGCTTGAAGATGCTGCATAATTAAGGGCAGGAAGAAGAGGCAGAGTAGGTCCCCAACTAAACTCCAGTAATTGCTGTTGTTCCAGCAGAGCAAAGAAAACATATGCCTGTGAGCAATGTTATATTCTCTGTTTATATGTTGCTGCTGCCCTGCAATAGGCTGGCAACCAGTTCAGGGTGTCCCCCGCCTACTGCCCAAACAGAGCTGGGATAGGCTCCAGCACCCCCTGCGACCCCTGTGAGGATAAGCGGATCAGGAAATGGATGGATGGATATGTTGCTGCTCCATGTGTGTTAAATAGAGTGTGTAATTGCCATAATATTTATTTCCATGAGCCTGTCTATGGTGTTTCACAGATTAGGTGAGGATTAAGCTAGCAGACATTTGTTAGATGAATTTGGTGACGATTTGGTTGAAAATGGGTGTTTAAATATACGATGTTATTATATGAGATTGCAGAGATTTCAGTGTAAAGGAAATAGAGATTTTCCTGCTCCAAAATGACACAACTCGAAATTTTGAATGATCTTTAAACTTCAACAATGCATTTGTCTTCAAGTGTCAGTCACTTTTATAAGCACGTGTGTGTAGATTTTATTACCCTTGCGCAAGCTGGTCATGGGCTCCAGGACACCCTTTCGAAAGGCAGCTATGGGGTCTTGGACACAGGAGCGCAGGCTGAGCATATTCTGGAGGTGAGGTTCCTGGATCAGCAGCTCCCTGTATGGGGTGAGCTGTGGTGATCTGGCCAGCAGGGCGGCGACACTGTGAACAAATTCTGGGACCAGGCAGGTGTATGTGTTGTCAGCCTGGCAGAAATGGTAAGCGACCACCTGTCAAAATAAAAAGGTAAAAGATGTGGATGGTGCCACCCTTACAAATACAGTGAACTCCCAAACCCTCGATGAGTAAATTTACTTTTTAAAACAAATTCTTTAGTGACTTTTGTCATTCTTTCGCTGTCAAGAAAAGGGAGATAACTATCGCATCAATTTAGTCGAACAAAAGTCCACTAGCTTAATGACAACATATAATGTGAAATGCCAGAGACCAGCCAACAGAAATTAGCATAGATGCCATTGACTGTGTAGCAAATGAATGACTACTATTACTTCTTCTACTATGGCAAAACATATTCATTTTTAGCAGTAGCTTTGTGAAATTCAGCCTGGTCGCAACAAGCGACTTTTTGTTGAACATCCTCCACTACAAGCAGTCTTACGAGTTCCCATGGTAACTGTTATTGAGGCCATCTTAGTAAATTCTGAAGCTTCCATGCAGAGATGCAACCAGCAGCAGCTGCAAACTCCCACTTAAAGTACAATGACAAAGTATTTGTACTTATTTACGCCCCGCCCCCTCCCCAGACCTCTGGTATGACCCACATCATGTCTGTCCCTACACACATAATATACATTGTAAACATTTTTCTGATAAGGGAAAAATACCCAAAGAAATGTATAGGTATAAATAGCTGACTCCTTATTCCGTCAGCACGTGCAGCTCATTACTTGGAACATGATTTCTGTGTGTTCTCTGTGTATGAAGTGAAATCTGTACTGCAGTGATGGAAGGTTAGACAACCAGACTAGATTGTGAGATATTCTCTCACAAGTGTGACACTACAAGCACTCACGTGGTGTTGAAAGGTACCTTGTTCGCGAGGCATCTGGCAAGCTGTGCTGTGCTATCGCCCGCTCCTGTAACAGCACTCTGGTTGATTTGGGAATCGGCGGCTTGTTTGGAGACGGCTTTTCGCTGCCTTTCCCCGCCTGAGAAGAGCGCAAAGTGCCATTTAAGCTATTATTTATATATAAGAAGGTGTCTCAAGCGAAGCGCGGATACAGTATGGTGGAAGGAAAGAACCAATTAAACTGCTGCATGGATGCTGTTTTAGCATTTATTGGATTTCACTGATCTCTTTAATAAGGTTCATGTACGAGCATGCTCTTTGTTCTCACGAGTAATCCAATTTGGCCCACGAGTATTTGGTATGCTATTTTTTTTCCATGTGTGACCCATGGAAACATGTTTTTTTTCTCACAGAACTGGGTAGAAACACCGTGTTAAAGGGCAATCTGTCAATCTGTTACTGACAGATTCCCGTTTTGCTGGCTGACTGAGGACAGACATTGAAACACTGATGGAATAAGTGATTTTCGGCCATCACCTGAATCGTCACTAACCCGAAAAGCAAAGACGAGGGGCAGTTTAGGGAGGACAAGCAGGAGGAGCTGTAATAGGCTCCGATTTTTTCGTTTTTTTTTCTGAGATGGTCCAAACCATTTTAAATGAATAAAATTGTTTCCTGTTACCCTTGTAAACAGTTTTGTGCCGAACTGTAATTGAGCAATGTCGGAAAAGTGATTAAAATAAAGATGATGGCCTGACGAGTGACGGACTGAGCCGGTCTGAAATAATGACGGACTGCTGGTGAATGCTGAATTTTTACTGATGCACCACACTGCTTTTTTTTCTTCTGTTTTTTTTTTTTTTTCGTACAAGAATAAAGGGTAATTGCTCATCCAGTACAGCAGGTGGCAGTGGCACTCATTTTCAGAAGATATGAGGCGCATGAACAAACCCTTCAGAGATACCACGGGGAAAATAACGAATGACGAGAAACAGGGAGAGAGATGAAAAAACAAATTTAATCAATTTATTCTTTGTCTTAATTTGAGAAATATTTTTTTCTTTTTGTTTTCTTTCATGTTATTAAGGACACAATGTTTTGCACAAGTATACTTAGAACATGTTTTTTGAGAATTTGTATTCTTTAAAGTCGCAGCGGAGAGTTGGGGGTGCGCATAATGTTTACTTCTTCCAAGGTGGCCGTAGCAGAAAATAATTGAGAAGCACTGCCTTAGTACTACGAGTGACATTAAAGAAATTCCAGTGATTAACATCTGGTGTTTCAGTGGTACATTCGGGGGTATACAGATGACAACTAGTGCACATTTTTTGCCTCACTAAAAACATGTGTCTTACCAGTATGCCAAAATATCATACAGTAGAGGAAGGCAGCAATGGTGGGGGAAAAACATTAGAACGACAAATTCATTCTACTAGTGTGCTGAATCGTCTCACTCGTGAGTACAAAGAGAGTACTACTTTCGTACGTGCACCTGAAGGTGGATATCAAGGATCCCGAATAAAGGCTTTCCACACTGCTGCAGTTAATTAGTACATATCTAAGCGAGTGTGGAAAATGTGCAGTCCAATCACATAAAACAACACAGAGCGATAGCTGCAGCATGGCCATGCCTCCTCTCGACATGCCAGATCGACTGCAGCCATGTTGAATATAAATCAAAATGACAACATACGTATCGTGCAGGTGTCCATGAATAATGCAGTGGTGCTGAAAAAATGAACAATGCTGTAAGTTGTTATGCATTTGCACCACGTGTCTTCTGAACAATACTCTATATCTTTATGTGCCATGAAAAAAACGGATAATGTTTATGAAAAAAGCGTCACATTTGATGTTCATCCCTAAAATGAGCGCCCCAGCAAAGCAAAGGTGACAAGATGAGGTTCCACCTCCGCAAGCTAACAAGATACAATGGAAGAGCATCATGAAATACTGTCGACTCATACTTGTTTTTGTTTCGTGTCAGTTTCCCAATTGTTTATATTTACTCGTATTGAGCTGCACTCTCTCATTGAAAACATTGTTTTTAATACTCAGCCGTTCTAGACCACTGCAAAATAATACATCTGAAAATACAGAAATTTACAAACACTTTCTACTTAAACGCCTGTTTCAAGGAGAAATACGGAAAATACATTTCTTGAGTAGAGGCATCTGTGACTAAAGCCAAACTGTGACAGGGCTTTTATTTTCTGGACCTGCATTTGACACCTCTGGCTCCGGAGGAACAATCATTACTGGATACCACCACCACCCTGCCGCTTCTTCATGTTAGAATTAAGCTGCATGTTTTACAATAGACATCAGTGCTGCATGTTAGCATGTTGTGGCACAATGTGGTCCAACACTGAAGCTGCGCAAACTCAAAAGACGGGCTTGCCTGTATACTGTAAAAACATGAAAAAAAAATCTCACTTAAATAGCTGCGATTTGACGGGAATGCGAAGGATGACGCGCATAACAGCTAAAATTAAGTGTAACTTGGAAACCTCGACTGTACAACATCCACTTTATGATTGATTCGTGGTTTGATAAAAATGCGGGCACCCGCAGCGGCTCCTCTCTCTCCTGTAGTTGAGAGGAAAGAAATTTCACCTGTGCTGTATGCTGCACAGATAGCACAGGTGAAATTTCAATGAAGTTGACTTGAACTTGAACTTGATAAGCAATAATGTGAACCTTACATTTGGGAGAGGAGCTCGAGCTGTGAGGGATGCTGGGCCCACCATGTTGCGTGTGCACGCCATGACAGCTGAGCGCCACCAACCGCCACATGATAGCAGTTTTGCCCGAGCCGGCGTTGCCCACGATGACGGCCCCTCTTCCCTCGCAGTTGCTGGTTTTTCTCAAGACCTCATCCAGACGCGTGAAGAGCCAATCCCGGCCCACGAAAGACGTTTCCGTTGTGGCGCCGGGAATTTCAAACAGCAACGGCTTCAGCATGATGTCAGCTTGTTTAAAATGGGCCAATCTCCCTGAAGAAAGTGAATGTTTTCATACAGGATTACACACATAGTAATTTGAATCAAATGTTTTCATTAACAGCAGCCGGAGTTACTCAGTGATTATCACACCTACCTTTTTTTTTTTGCAAATCTGGTTGAGAAAACAGAGGTCTTCTCTAAGTGCTTGGAACAAAGGATGTTCGTTGACACCAGCATGAAATTCAGCCGCTTTGCGAGAACGAAACTGTATCGTTCCAATTTTCTGGTCTATGTACATGCCCTATTCTTTTCTTGTGGCCACTAAAACAACTGTTTGCCTGAATGTGAACAGTGCATCGTCACACAGCGCAGAGGCATTTCGCCGAATAAATCCATAACAATGGCAAAGAGCAGTTAACAGATCAATCAACAATGGATTCCAATGCCTGACTGGCGACTCAGCATTTTGTAAATGACATCACTCACCAGAGATTGCCGAAAAAAAGCATTTTCGTTGTTAAACTCATTGCAATGGATCTAACTCTTAATCTGAGTGGGTTGCGTTAAAAAAAAAAAAAAAAAAAAAAAGGAAAGTATTCTTGAAATAGTTTTTAGCTCTAAGTATTACTCAAAAGATGGTTGGCCAAATTTACCTCATGCTTGACCTTAATGCTATCAAAATGATTAATTTCAACCAATAAAACATGCTCAATGCCAAGTGAAAAAAAATGCATCTATTGTATTTGTGTTTTTTTTCCGATGAGGCGGCAAAGTTCGGATACAATACAATACACCCTGATTTATACAGCGCTTGGCAGAAGCTGGTGCTTTTTTGGTTGAGACAAATCATACTTAGAGTCGAGAACATGAAATAATTCTCGTAGCCCCTTAACTACATGATTAACCAGTCAGCAGAGCACAATTACTCTGAACAACAAATTAGCTATTTCAATTTCCTTTGGGCATTTTTAATAACAATTTAGAGTTTTTAAAATATGAGCGCCTACCAACATCCTTTATCTGAGCCGCTTATCCCCACAAAGGTCACGGGTCTTCTAGCTGGAGCCTACCCCAGCTGTCTTCGGGCAGGAAGCGGGAAACACCCTGAACTGGTTGCCAGCCAATCGCAAGGCACACATAGACAAACAACCATTCACACTCACAATCACACCTACGGATAATTTAGAGTGATCCATTAACGTACCCTGCATTTTTTTGGAACGTGGGAGGAAACCGGAGTACCCGGAGAAAACCGACACAGGCACGTGGAGAACACGCTGCTTCTTAAGCCATTCATTTAAAAACACGGTCTACCAAATGTTTTAGCTGGCATCTTTAGTAAAGACATACATGTTTTTTAATGTGCTCTACTGATTAGTCGAGTAACAGATGAGGAATATCTTACTTCTCCAAATCTGTTGCATCACTGTCCTACTCGTTCCTGCGATCTGGTTCACATTCCTCCACGTCACTATTGTCCATGTTTTGCTCTCAATCTCAATCAATCAGCATCTCAACTCCGTTTGACTTTCCCTCTCTCTGTTTATGTCGAGCCAAGTATTTGTGCTTGAGATGTGCCACCACTGGAGATGACAGCACAAATGATGACACAACACTGCACTGACTGTTTGGCAACAGTAGCATATAAAATACCTTTGGAGTCCTCATTTGTGCGCCCAGGTGTGTTTAGCTTGCGGACGGACCCCCTGTGCCCGCCGACCGCTTGGTTCTCCAGATAATTCAGATCCTCTAGTCTCGTGGAACAGGTTGCTGTCAAGAGAGTCATTATGAGAAGGGCAAAGAAATGCACAAAGTGTACAAATACAAAAGCTCACACGTGTAAAATTCATGGTTTGACTTCATTAATGTTTCCATGGAAACATGAGGAATAATCCGTTCTGCCGCTCCATGATAACTACTTGGTGACGTTGCCAAGTCAGGAGTGAGGAAGAAACATCATCACGTCTTGTCGTCTTCGTTTGACATAAATTTGGTCAAAATTTATAGTCACAGACAATCTCATAAAAATGACGACACACTTCAGTTTTCTAAATATTTTATGATATCTTTTCAGGGCAATATTCAAGAGTGGGCAATCTTTATACAGTTCTGTCCTTTGCTCTGAGGTGCCATATTGAACTGCCAGTGTTTGATACTTTGTAGCTGGTGAGAGCAGCAAATGTAACACACTTGCTCCCCTTCACGCCTGAGACCTTGGAACGAACACACACACACACACACACACACACACACACACACACACACACACACACACACACACACACACACACGAGTCACATGACAGCGGGGAGGGGAAAATGGCTAACTGAGCCCAATGTGGACATTTTCACTCGGACATGTACTCACGTTTGTTGCCAACAGTTTAGACATGGCCGTGTGTTGAGTTATTTTGAAAATAAATTACAGTAAATGTACACTCTTATACAGGATATACATTAATGACATTGTAGCAGAAAGTTGGACTGTTTAGCGCCATCAAACAATGAAATTGAAGAAAGTGAATAAAGAGCATGTAGTGCAGGAGAAAACCGGGAGTCGTTTACTCCCACGTCCGCCTTTGCCATCCACCCACTCATATAGCAGAGTTTACAGGTCAGCCATGCTTTATTCTCCACAGTATTTAAGACATTCGTTGCAGTCTTCCGATAAATTATACTGTCAGCCAGCATTCTAGTAGTTCCGTTGGGGCAACAACATCTAGCTATGCACAATTCATTTTCAGTGTGGTATGGTAAAACAAACCAACAAAAAAAAAGGTGTAGGTCAAACCACACTTGAATAGATTACACGGCTAGACCAATCAAACAGCAAAAGCATGAAACGAGTGCAGCCACTGGACAGATGATGACCTGGCCTGACTACAATCATGGAAATCCCACGTTTGACGCAGCCTCCATTAATCTCCGAGGATCCAAGGAAGCTGTAGCACATCGCTGAGCTCTTATAGGTTTAAAGCTTTGCGCAATTTTGGTTTCAGGCTGAAGAATTGCAGCCAGCGGTGCCAGTAAATCCACAATATCCCCTCGCTTTTGTGAAAACACATCATCAAATCGCTCTAATGGAAAAGGCAATACGGCAAAGCCACGCTAGATTGCAGTTCATTCTTCTATATCGCAGATTCTTAAGCGATTCTTCTTTCTGGGGTCTTACAGTATCCAGGCAAGTCCGAATTTGGAGTTGAGCGCCTTCAGTGTAGTCCCTTGTTGTGCCACAACATGTAAGGCGGCACTGGGGTCTCCTAATGTGTTGCTATCCCCAACAGCATTAGTTGTAGTTCTAAGAATATTGCTTGCTCTGCTTGTGTTGCTGTGTTTAAGTAGCAGTTGTTTGAAGGTTTACAATTACCGTAATATCTTTGCTCATTTTCATTATGTTCGCATTAAGCTAGCAGACGTTTGTTTGCCGAAATGATTTGGTTGAACGTTTAGATGATTAAATATAAAAAGTTTTACACTCTTTTGTTTTATGTGTCACTTCTAAAGGAAACTTTAACGGAGAGTAACAATTCAACAGCTTGAAGCAAGCACGTGCGGGATCTTATTTTCAGAAGCGGGCAAGCGACCCCTTGTTTCGTTTTCTCAAATTTTGTGTTATAAGATCGGCTCATTTCTTGACAGCGTGAGTGTAAGAACAGCCGCTAAGGAATACTTTTTTAATGTTTATAGTTACATTTATATGTATGGTTTAGTCAGTTTAAATGTATTTTTAAATGTTTTGATACGGTCTCCTATATTGCAGGATTTCACCTGTAGCGGGTGGGTCTGCAGCGCAACCCCGTGATAAATGCAACCTTTACTGTTTTATTAATGCTCCCTTTCTTTTGTTTAAGTACCTGTGTCTTTATAATTCCGTGCCTGACACTTGTTCATGTACAGCAACATGAACAAGTGTGAGGAACGGAACACACTCAATTTTTGCAAATACTGAAGATACTCGAATTTACTTTCATAATCTATGAACAATGGCTTTAGAAGAATGGAAATGCAGAGGATCACGCATCCAGTAGGAGAATGGAGGATGGAGAGAACATCTTCAGCACGAGGTGTGAACAGGAGAAACAGTGTGAAGGAGGTGTGGCGTGGGATGAGAAAGATTGCTGGCTAAAGACTGCCTGGCCAAATTGCTGAGTGGACCACAAATGAGAGTGAGCAAGGGGGGAAAAAAAAAATCCTGTTTTCAGCCAGTTTGACAACATCACCGTCACCCACAACAAGGCAGCCTCCCTTTTTCATCCACTGCTGATGACAGTGTGACTGATTACCTGCCACCTCTTGTTGATCCTTCCCCACATTCAAAGGTCAACTCAGCCCCTGCACCCATCAAACCTCCTAACACCAACTCCGCACAACATTAGAATCACGAGCAGTCGCTCTTCAAATGGAATTGGATGCTCCTGCCTCAAAAGGTCGAAAATCTGCTTCGATTCACAATTCAACACAACTGACTTCCAAAACGATATAAACCTATTTAGCGACTGTGGAAATATGAGTGAATCCAATCATGACATGGGCTGCATTTATGTAAGCCCCTTTTAAAGCTACTTTACAATGTGCCTCATTCACAGCCATGAAAGTTGCCTATGGAAAAGCGCTTGAGCATACAGTATAGCTTTGATCTCTATCTTCAAGACCCTGTACCGAAACACTCTTTGTCCTCGTTAGTAAAGACAATTCAGTATACGCTGATCGGGGCGAATGTGTCTTAACTAATTTTGTTGCCCCCCCCCCCCTCCTCCACTTTAGCATGATATTGGATATACAAGTAGGTCAACTAAATTTTACTAGTGAGACCAAACTGTGCACTAGTTGACATCTACACAACTAGTTAAGTACCAGATATTAATTTGTACAACTTTATAATGTCACTCGTGGTACTAGCGAACACTTTTGCCTTACTATGAACATGTAGTTGTCATGGAAAAATGTCCTACTGGTTAGAACAAAGAGCATAAAAGACATGGAGCTTAAACTTCATATCCTGCTTACGATCTACATACTAGTACTGTATGGTCTTTGTCCTCTCTAGTAAGACAACTCAGCACACTAGGGTGCACACAAAAGTAGTGATTTTTTTTCCACAACTGGATGACGTTTCTGCACTCTAGTAGAATTTTATTAATGAGGAAAAATTACAGGTGTGCATTTTGGTGCTACAAGTAGAGTCTAGAAGAAGTTTGACACATGCCTCCTAATTAGACGTACTAGTGTTACTACTGGAGCGTAGCAAGACACAGCAACACGAGCAAGACGAAGTTGCTAAACAAGTGTGCAGTAGTGTTTCAACTGTAATCGTCGCTTCTAATCACACATTTGTCACCCTGGACCCTACTAGTAGCATCCTAATGCCCACTTTTGGTTTTGCCTCTCCAGTGGCATGTAGTTGTCACACTAGTGTGCAGAAATGTCAAACAGTAGTGGTGGGGGGTGGGAGGGGGATTGTTCTTGTAGTGCGCTGAATTGTTGTACTGTGGACAAAAAATGTACTAGTATGTGGAGCTTAAGCTTGAATTCAAGGACATTGAATAAATGCTCCAATGTCTTTTTATGGAGGCCTTAATAATAAGCAGGCTTCTCCAAATCTAATCGTGCACCATCAGGAGCAAGAGCAGCGCTGTAGAATCACTATAGAAGAAAACATTCTTTATTAGTTTACATTTTCATTATGATCGGCTGCGCTTCATTGTCCAAATATACAGTAGCCCGGAAATATTGCAGCAATGTCCATTCAGAATTATACATAAATGAGTGCGACCAATAATCGGGTCGGTTATGTGCTGGGCTGCAGCAATTAGGGCTGGAGCGTCTCCCTCACCAAACTTTAAGACAATCATAACGTCTCACTCAAAGGCCACAGAGGTACACATTATTCACATGCAATTTTGTGCATTAGCTGCCTCGGGCAAGACAAAATTGAATATTGGCTTTAAAATACACTTATTTGTGATGATACTTTCTAGTCTTTGGCTTTACTTGCATGGCATGCAGCGCAATATTTTTCTGAACTATTCTAAAGACTGTGTAAAGCAAAAACACACTGTGATACACACCACTAAACCAAAGAAAAACTACAAATAAGCAACTTGAGCAAAAACACATTTCTCAGCACTTACTTATTCTTACTCTAAAAATGGAACGGAACCAAAATGTAAACATCCTGTAACTGCTACCATCCCTGTCGACAGAAAGCCATTTCAGCCTTTCCTCGCTATCCATTTCTTTAATATCAAAGATATCCAGTTTAAGATCATACTAGTACGGTAGGTCAAATGTAGCAGTAGCAGCGCAAAAACTTTGTGCCCTAGTGTGCTGAATTGTCCTACTAGTGAGAACAAAGAACATGCATAGTAGCAGTAGTAGGAGTAGGAGCAATCGAAGAAGACCTGAAGCTGGATGTCATGGATAGCGAATAAATGCTCCAACAGCTTTCCAAACGTGTCCATCCTAGTGCTTCCCGGTTTATTACGGCAAAATGACAGTGTGGAATAAGATCAAAAGAAGAACGCTATTCATCACCTAAGACTTAGTTTAGCACATTGCTGTCATCGTCAATCTATTCTCTTTGCCTTCCCTACTGCCTTACTGCTGTTTTACATGCTGTATCATGCCTGTTTTTATACCGCAACCTAATTTCTGTGTTGCGGCTATACATGGCCGTAAAGCTTTGTTTTAAATTTAGAGCGATGCACTATGTTCTCAACTTTCATGTGGAGTAAATATTAGCAGGCCCAGCCAGTACTGTGCAGCCCACTTTGTCTTTATCCTCAATTTCATCTCGGCTGTCGAAATGAAAGCACCAGCTGACAGAAGAAACTGGCAGGCTTGACTGTGAATCCACTCCTTGGGGAATCTCTTTTATGCCTGCACCAGAAAGCAAGCACAAATGAATAGACATCTAAGGGAATGAGAAGAAGAAGAGGAAGAAGAGCCTTGTGCACCAGCACTGATCGTGACAGGAGAGGTAAGAGATTTAGTTTTATGACAGCCTCACAGGGCATTTCAACTGCACTGCTCACCGGTAGTCCGGCCAACACATGGCGCAAGGAGTTCTCACTCCATCTATCATCAGATGAACAGCCAGACCGCGCTACCTTAACTACATTAATATTTCCACAAAATGTATGGCGCAAGAATATAGTTCTCACTCTTCATTCCCACGGATGGCGACTCCACTTTCCTGTTCGATACGGTCTGTTTTCCAACCTTTTTCGAGTCAAGGCATATGCTGTGTATGAAATCATAAACTACACCGGTAAATATAAAATCTCTTTTAGTAGACATGAGCAGAATTTGAGTTGGAACAGCAATGGTGTACTCATACTTTACTGTGACGACCAAGATTAATAGAACAATGTATTAGAGGTACCTGCCACAGAATTTGGACGGGGCATGACCAAGGAGGAATGGCTGTGTATGTGACGTTGTGGGAGGGGTCTCTTGGGTGGCGGAGGTGTCCTGGGCTCCTTAATATCAACTCTCACTGATGACTCCTCAAGTTGGATGGTGGGATTACTCCGTGGGGGCCCAAGATGGTTGTCGTCGCCTGCCTGGCCCCGGACGACAACACCGCCCCCTGGGTGTTCATCCGCAGTCAGATCTGAACTCGAGATGCTCCGCTCCTCATTCTCAGAAGAACTCGTGATGGTCGCTGAAAACCACAAGAGGAAGATTGGCGAGGTAGACTAGGTTTATGAACAAAAATCAAATACAGTGGCACCTTGACTGAAGAATTTAATTTGTTCCCCGACCAAGCAAGGATTCAAAGGCCAATAATCTCTTCCAGCCACCTCCTAAAATCAATAATATTACTGTTTATATGTATTATAATAAAATACCCAATCCATCCATCCATTTTGTAATCCACTTTATCCTCACAAAGGTCGTGAGTGCGCTGGAGCCTATCCCAGCAGTCTTCGGGCAGGAGGCGGGGTACACCTTCTGAACTGGTTGCCAGCCAATCGCAGGGCACACATAGACAAACTATCCACGCTCACAATCACATCTAGGGAAAATTCAGTGTTCCTTTAAACTGCCATGCATGTTTTTGGAATGTGGGAGGAAACCGGAGTACCCGGAGAAAACCCACGCAGGCCCGGGGAGAACATGCAAACGCCACACAGAGAGGCCGGAGCCAGAATCAAACCCTGCAACTCTGCACTGTGAGGTGGTCGTGCTAACCAGCCAACTCCCGTGAATCCAATAAAAATGTAAAATAAAAAATAGCACTGTATGTTCTATAAAAACAAGAAAAGAGAATGTAAAACAAACTGATTTTATTATAAGCGGAATTACTGTAAGTTTGGACAACTCACAACAGCAACAGCATAGTGTTGGAAGTGTGCCTCTAAGAGCGTGGTTGAGTGAGTGTAGTCAGGAACCTCCTCAGTTCTTTCACAGCAGAAAGCGTATTGACTCCTTTGTTTCGCTTCACTCAGGCGGCGACGTATCGGACGCATTTGCATCTCAGGCATTTGCAAAAAAACCATGGCGATGGCTCCTAATTTGAAAAAGTTGGGGCACACGTTCGTCAACTGGTACCTGGACGGTGATTCCCCCATTTAAAAGCGAACCTCGCATCTTCGTAGTATGCTATTCTTGATTTCACAAATTCACTGTTGAATCTATCTTGAGCTATTCGCGACCTATTTGCCTATTTGTCTTGCTCTTTCTGTCAGGCCTTCTGATGCCACAAGATGGCACCACGGTCCTGGCTAATCAGAAAGCAGTAATTGGTGTTAGTGACATAGCATAGAAGTAATCAAACTCAACTGAGTTTAGCCTAGGTTGTCCGTGGAAGTTGCCAAATCTTTGACATATGTGTATTTACATGTGCACTTCCAATGCATTTTTTTTCCAAATCAAATTATCTGCAAGCCCATTATTTGGGGATCATAGTTCTTGATAAATGGTATAGGGTTTAAGCCAGGGGTGTCAAACTCATTTTTGTCGTGGGCCACATTTTAGTTACTGTTTCCCTTCGGGGGCAGTTATGATTGAAACCAACTTTAAAAAGTCAATAATAACGGTTTATTCAACTATCGTTTATGTTACTGTAATGAGGGGTTTGGTTACAGGAAAATGCTTACAATATGTCTCTTATGTATTGCATATGAGAATTTTAGATTTTGGTAGAGATTTTAGCAAGCATCACGGAAGTTGACCCGTTTGATTTGCTTTCGCAGGCCACATAAAATGATGTGGCGGGCCAGATCTGGCCCCCGGGCCTTGAAGTTGACACCTGTGGTTTAAGCTGTCAATATAGCCTATTAAATTAAACTTGTTTGTAGGTCACATGTTTTAACTATTCATGGCAGGGCTCAGTTCCTATCCCCTTAATAGTTGATTATAAAAAGCAGTTTTAAAATCCTATCTGCACAAACTAACACACTTACACAGACTGCACCGCCAGCATACTGAGCGAAATAAACCAACTTGTTCTATTAAAATAATCACAATCAAAGGCTTTTATTCTTGATGCAGCCTTTGCCCTTTAGTATTTAACTATAAATACTGAGTCTATTTAAAAAAAAAAAAAAGTGTCCTATTTTAGGAGCATCAGACCCATAAGCAAGAAAGACAGCAGTGTCCCAGTTTTGACAGCAGGGAGTTGAAGCCTTGAGGCTGAAGTGGCACAGGCGACACACAGAAACTGCGGGACGGGAGTACACATTTCACTAGGACTTGCAGCTAAGTGACGGTTCATCTAACTTCCTGTCTGCATCGCCTAAAAGGTCTGCTACAAGTCAGCTAGGCGAATAGTAAGTACAGTGAAACCCCATTAATCATGGCAGACATATTTCACACCCTCACAGCTTGTTTTGTTTTAGGTTTTTTTTACTGTGAAACTGCTTCATAAAACAAGAGTTAAAAATTGCACATCTAAACACTAAAATCTTCAACCAAAACATATATTGTATTCAAATCTTTTAGCTTAATGCTCGCATATAATGTGAAATGTCATAGAGGGGCTCACAGAAATTAGCATAGATGGAACTGCTAATTTGAAACACATGGAGCAGCAACACATACAAACAGGGGGATACAACATTACCCACAGACATAAACAGGGGTACCTTAACAAATGCGACCCTGTTTATTATTTGAAGCGATCGTAAATTGAGGTAAATGTTTCCATTGAAATGAATGGCAAGTTATATTTACTTCTATGCATGTTATTGCTGTTAATGAAATTGTATCTCTTTTGTTGACCTCAGTGCTGCCTGGCATGTTGTGGCATAACATCATATCACACCAAAGACGCACAATTTTAAATTTAATTCTAAAATTCCATTAAAAAGTAATTGCATAAAAATATGTGACATAGTAGGGGGTGCACTGTACATGTCTTATCTTGTCAACATAAAAGCTGAACAAATCTCACCTATAATTCCACTGTCCTTGCTCTCCAGGGTGGAGGTGGGGCTTTGAGGAGGTGGGCCGAGGCTGCTCCCAGCGACGAGTCCAGCAGGAGAAAATTGAGCGGGGTTGCGAACGGGGCTGGAGAGCGTCCCGCTAGGGCTGAGGCTGGAGCCACCGTGTGGTGAAGGTGAAGGCAGGGCCAAAGGATGGCACACATTACTGCTGCTCAAAGTGGATGAGGGACTCTCAGAACAAGGAGAGGCAGTGCTGCAGGTCAATGTGGAGCTGGGGCTTCCTCCCTGAGTGGAAGTATCACCCTGAAAATGAAAAGAGACACCAATTACGAATAAGTCAGGTGGGCCAATTTACAACCAGTGGTCTAAGTTTTCTCCGTTGCAGTGTTTGCCATTTATCGTATGGAAAGAAGCATGAGTATTTATTCGACATCTTTGGACTTGTACAATCCTAGTCCTCATTACAATTAGAACACAATTCAGCGCACTTGTAGAATGTTCAAATAGTACCATTAAAACAACTGCCTTACTAGTTAGGTTGTTTTTACTACAACCTTTGGCCTACTAGAGTACAAATGCCACGAGTACTACTCCTCCCTATTTAAAGCAGTTTGTCAATATCCCTGTTATACAACTTAAGGTCCATGGAGTACTATACACTTTGTCCTCACTAGTACAACAACGTTGGCATGCTAGTAGGTAGCTCAAGTTACTATCCATCCACCCATCCATTTTCTAATCCGCTTATCCTCACAAGGGTCGCGGGAATGCTAGAGCCTATTCCAGCTGGTTACACCCTGAACTGGTTGCCAGCTAATTAATCACAGGGCACACATAGAAGAACATTCTCATGCAATTACACCAATGGACAATTTAGAGTTTTCCATTTACCTGCCATGCATGTTTTTGGAATGTGGGAGAAAACCGGAGTATCCAGAGAAAACCCACGCAGGAACGGGGAGAACTTGCAAACTCCACACAGGAAGACCGGAGCCTGCATCTTTGCATTGTGATGTAGTCGTGCTAACCAGTCGACCATCATTCCGCCCACTCCAAGTTACTAGAGAGGCAAAACTGCACACTAGTTGACAACTGTGTGCTGCTCTCACGTCTAGTGACAAACTTAACTTTTTCACTGTAACTGCCATTTTCCCCATTGTTTCAGAAGGACAGCTGGTTAGATTCTCAAATGAATCCTGCGCTGTTGACATTCACCATTTGCAAAGAAAAAAAAAACTCATTTGACACGCACGACTGTTCAAGATGGAAGATAACCTCACAGAAATGGATATTCTTCAGAAATGAAAGGATACACTTGAGCGCAGAAAATCCAGGGAACACTTCATGTGAATATGTGGATGATAGTGATAGTTACCAGACCTATTATAGTTTGTGCCAAGGTTAAAAATGGGGAACCAAAGTTGAGGAATGAGATAGCACTGTCTGGTTTGTTTTTCATCAATCAAGAATGGAAACAATCTTGGAATAGAATAGAACTTGTCACTGTCACAGAAACATGAATATCAATCGCTGATGATACACTCTCGTTCAGTGGTTCTTAACCTGGGTTCGATCAAACGCGAGGGGTTCGGTGAATCAGTCTCAGTTGTTCGACAGAGCCTCTGCCATGGAGGTTAAGACACACCCGACTCAACATGTCAGTTAGTTATGACATGCCTGCTTGGCCATCACTGGCTGGTTCGTTTTGTGCACAATTAAAAAAATGTATACTTTATACTTCGATGAATTGTGTATAGTTTTTTCAGTTTTTAATAAATGCATTTTTTTATGTCTTGAATTAAAACAAAACAAAAAAAACGAACTAACTTTTCACTAATGAAGGGTTCGGTGAATGTGCATATGAACTGGTTGGGTGCATATGAACTGGTTGGGTTCGGTACCTCTAACAAGGTGAAGCACCACTGCTCTAGCGCTACTTTACTGATCTCAGGTACATATTTTGTATTAGAAAAGTCTCACCTGCCATCTGATGGAAGAGCATTTCATCGTTTTTGTCACCATGTGTGTGCTGCAATCATGAAAAAGATGGCACTGTTCATGGAGTGAATGATGAAGACTAGGTAAAAAAGCTACCGACGTTCAAATCGAGCCATGCTGGATGTCAGGGTCACTCAGTAAGCAGTTTGTAAATCAATTATTTTGCCCGGAAAAGTCCTTTCTCAGTCTTCTTTTTTTTGTTGTTGTTGTCACAAAAACAGAAAAATATGTGTCAATGTCACTGTTCTGCTTGGTCTGTTTCTTTTTTCAAAAAGCATGTTTTCTCCACTTTTTGTTCAGAAACCATTGTTTTGGAGAACCCAACCTGCATGTTCTACTTCAGATTACAACAGAAGAGAGTCTCTTTTTTCCTTTTGGTAGGTTTGGTGATCCTATTCACAGCAGACAATCGTTTGTGGCTTTTGAAAGATCAGCCCAAAAAACTGGGAGTGGGGAGTTTAGCTTCAAAAAACATCGTACTAGTAAATAAGAAAAAGCATTTATGGACCAATTAAGTGAAATTGGATCATTACCCACATCACAGTGTTTACAAATCAGTGCTGGAAGAAGATAGGTCATTTTGTTTTTTATGCAAAGGTTTTAATTCTATTTTGATTTCCCTGGGGGAATAATACAGACTATGAATGTAAAAAAATTTAAAAAACTGAAATATTAGGACCAAGATTAAAAATGTCGATTGTGCTTTTTTTTATGTAGACATTAGCTGTATTTAGGGTTTTTAAACATTCAACAAGTAAAGAAAATCCATTTCGACAATCATGAAATAGCAAAAGTCAAAAAAGAGCTAGAACAGCATTGGCTGCAGGAGTTGATTTTACTAAATGCTTGATTTTACAATGTGCATTTATGCGTTGAGTCGTCATCACACACAGTCCAATGTGTGGGACCTTTCCTATCAATGGTAAGTGAACCTTGACATATTTGAACAAAAGATCACGCTTGGATAGTTTTCCTAGTACATCGTACCCACAGGGAAAAATAGGCTCTCTCATAATATTTTTATCTTGGTGGTTTGATCAAACGCAGTTCGGGTCTTCGAACACTGATGCAACATTTATGCAATGCGAGGGGTGAAGAGAAATGAAGCAGCTCACCGATGTTCCTATTATCCTGGAGCCTAATCTATCCCAGCCAGCCCATGACAAGCCACATTCCTCACATGATCCCTGCTATCTTGGTGAAACTGACTGGATCTGGAGCTCAGGTGGTGAAACGAGGCTGGCTAAATGGGCCAAGGCACAGAGATGGCACTACAAGCACCTTCAATAACTCGCGGACACAGAGTAGGACACCGACAACAGTCAGTTGTGTACTAATGTGTGGACGTTAATTTGGATATCTAAAATATTAAATACATTGCAGCAATTGGATTCCAAATTTTTTAAATACAGCTCAATGTGAGGGAAAAAATGTGTCGGTTTTACTGTGTACTACTACTCATGATTTCAAGTGCTCGATGGTAAATAGTAGAATTTCGGTTCTACTATTAGATCCAAGAGGCTACTACTATCCGAATCATGCCTAGTTAGGCCTAATGCAGCACAGCAGTTTACTAGTAAGATCTGATTATGCACTAGGAGGCCAAAAGTGTCACTAGTAATGAAAAAAACATTACTAATAAGATGGAGCCATTCTGCTAGTAGGACTCTTCGTTCCCCAAGTGCAATAAATTGTCATGCTTGTGAGGACAAAGAGCACGCCAGTGCATGGACCTTAAGATGTATATTGAATACATGCCCAAATGACATTCACAAGGATTGCAACATAATCCATACAGCAGATATGTAGAAATCTCTTCAAAATGGTTGACTGAATTCAAAGATGATAATTATGTTTGATATTCAGCCCAAATTTAATTACAGGTAGTCCATGAAAGAAATCAGCCAGAAATGAAAATATGAAGAAAATTTAGCAACCCCTTCTTATTATAGGGCAACAACAGAAGAGTAAATCAAGATGCTGTCTTACCTTCTTTTCCCTCCGGTCCTCCATAGGAGAGCTAGCGATGCTGGGCGTTGCGTCTCCCAATAAGAAGCATAGTCTGGTCATCAGTTCCTGGGAAGAAAGGGAGGAGCCCAGCTGGGGCTCCACGTGGAGGTCTGGTGCACACACACACACACACACACACACACACACACACACACACACACACACACACACACACACACATTCAGTGTACATGCATATGGGCAGGCCAATAACAGTGTCATAGGTAGGCCTCTTAATGATGCTTCCTGCGCGGCAGCCTGCATGAAATGTGTGCATCGCATCCACAGGTCAGTGCGCCAAATTCCCCTGTTTAGAAATGCACTGACAGCAGCTTTACAGTCCCCTGGTGAGGTAGCACCGTTTGAGCATTCATCCCATATCCTTCATATCCATCTTAAGGGCGATGCGCTAGGATGCTCATTGCCTAGTAAGACAATTCAACACACAAGTAGAATGACAGTCTTCCTTGTTACGTTTTTTTTTCCACTAAGTGGACCAATTTTGGCCTACTAGTACAAACTTAAGTAAACCACCGAGCTGCACTAGGAACATCATAAGCCCACCCACCTAGTATACATGCGTGTAGACCTTACTGGGAGCATATTCACGGCTTTTGCCTCTCTAAAGTATTTTTATCGACTCAAGAGAGTTTAACTGTGTTTTTCTTCCTGAACATGAATTTCCTCCTTCAAAAGAAACTTGAAATAAAGTTTTTCAGATTATCAATTTAGCCATCCGATTGGTTTACAGGACCGCGAGCACCAAAGCATGCAGTCTTTTTCTTTCAGCCATGTCAGCCAACAGCAGGGTTATGAAATTTGGTTTTACCAACCATCGACAACTGGCCTTAGCCACGTCTTCGAAAAAAGAAAACAAACATAAAGCAATCCACAATTTCAGACACATACGTCACCAAATCGAACTTTATTCGACACACCACAAAAAGAGGTAATTGTTGTTGTTTATCTGCACACACGGTCAATACAGCAAAGGGTTCCATGCCATCTAAGAAAAGTGTTAAGAATGATGGCATTTTTCTGATTTTGTGTTCGTGAAAATAGTATTTTTCTGTCTTAATGACTCTTGATCTCAATCGGACTTGGACTCTGCCCGACTTGAACTCGGACCTTGCGGACTCGGGCTTCACTTGTACTCTGACTTTTGTACTTCGGACTTGACGTGGACTCGATAAAGGTGGCCTTGACTAAGACATGCTGCTTCTTGTGCGCGCTAGTCATTCCACTGGTGCACTGAATGGTCTGAAGGAATTAAGGATATGCTTTAGGGGCTTACATAGGTAACATCACAAGGTTGTGCGAGGTAGAGAGTTGGCCAGGTGCTCGTGGTTAAAAGACAGCTTGTGAATTTTAATGAGCTCGGTGACGAGAGAGATGCAGAGCGTTGGCTTTTGCTTCCTGCGAGATTGCCTGATGCAGGACATATGCTGCATTCATTTATCACTAGTTAAGGCTCCCTGATGCTTTGACCTCCAACCCCATGACAACAACACAGGTGCTCAACTCTCCACAGAATAAAGACTCTTCAAAATCATAGCATCACTGTTAGCGTCTTTAACCAGCTGAGCAATTTACTTGGCATGTTCTTGCACCTCATGTTCGGGGCTGAGTAACATGCATATTGAGTAGGCTTACAAACAGGATGACAGAACATCTCAGATAACAAGAACAGCTCACGCCGCCTCGCACACATCTTTGCATCCACACACCACATTTGTTTTGCACTTATTCTTTCTCGCCGTTTCACTCTGTACCTTTGTAAAGCTACTGCTTTGAATCACCCTCACATTCATGTCAAACACCAGCCTTGAGAGGATGAAGGTCAATTTTAATAGGCAGGCCAGGGCATTTTGTTTCACAAGGCTCCCCAATTAGAGCCTTTCTCTATGCACTTCTCACTTCACAGCTTGGGAGAGAACGAAGGATTGGGTTGAGGGGGTGGGGTTGGTGGTGGGTGGGGGGTGGCAAGAAAACTTTGCATTTAGTCAGCAGAGCACGAAGACTCAATCGGGAGTAACACGAGGACACCGCGAATGTCCAAAACGATTCATCAAACCATCTAGCAGTTGCCATTGGAAACGGGAAGCTGAAAGGTGCCTGGCAACCGGGATAGAAAATGCCCGATAAAAAAATAATAATAATAATAATAAATACAAAAAAAATCTTCCGATAGTATAGCTCCCTCCATGCACAAATAAGAAAACCTGTCTGCATTTTTGATATTTATTCAGAAAAATTACACCGAGGTTCGAGGCGTGTGATTGACTTCATATACTGTGAAGATTATATTGACACCATTTGTCTCATTCACCTGGAAGGAGGAACTTCATTCAGATCTTTACTGATGGTATCAAAACACACACACACATGCACACAGACCCTCGGATCACATCGCTCACCTTTATCCCATTCATTATCCTCAGCGGTATACCTTCTCTCATCATTAAGTACAAAACAGCCACAATGCTGAACACACTCACAGCTTCACTCTCACCTCTGTGGTCTGTCTCGCCACAGCACAAGGCGAAGACGAGAGGTCCTCTCGAGTCGCACGAGCCGTCCGCATAGTCCAGCTTCCTCACCCGTCCTTCGGCCACAGTAGAGGGGAGAAGGAGAAGGGGAAGGGGAGGGGCGGGAGAGGAGTGAAGGCGAGATGGGCGGGAGGGTTTTTCAGAGTGCAGCCAGGGAGGAATATGAAAGAGAGAGAGATTAAACCTCTCCGGATAAGATCTGCGGTGAATTTAAATCATGTCCCAGGAGGATAAATCAATATCTCCATATGATGTGCCATGTAAACATTTTAGTGCTCACTGGAACGTGGGCATTAATCTGTGATATATTAATTGTGTTTGTGGGTGTGTGTGAGCGTGTGTGTGTGAGTGTGTGTACAGAGCCAGGGACAGTGCACAACTATTGATGTGTGGGTGTGTCTCAATTTATGCAACAGCATCTGAGCCTCCTCTGAAGCACAGATTCTTGAGGTCTGACTGTACATCGTTCATAAAGAAAACACTGAGATTCAATTCATTTTCACACTGAGGGTTGGTCAGTGTCTGAGTTGTGTTCACAGTATGTAGTCAGAGAGCCTACACTGGCCAGGCTAGTGCAACGTTAAACAGCTGATTTGGACACAAGTGCCAAAAGAAGGCAAAAGATAGGGCAGGGATGGCCAACTTAATTGCTGGAGAAGGCCATAATTTTTTCACTTTTTTTTTTTGCTACTCGGGGACCACACGACGCATTTTCTAACCAAATGTATGACAACAGCATGCAACATAATAATGACAATTCAAGGACGGCACAAAACAGTTGAACAGCAAACCAACATGAAGTGGATGACCTCATTTTGTGCATTTTTTTAAACAAAATTCAACTTACTCGAAACTGTAATATTATTGAGGTACTATGTTTTTTTCTGCACAGCCTATCATTCCAAGTCCGCAAAAAAAATATTTGGCCGACTCATGTTGCAGCACAGGGTCATATAAGACCCAGTGGAAGTGCAAATAACCCATCTAGTGGTGAATGGTGATATTACAACTCAAAACTACAGTCAATGCATATTTGCCATTCTGGAATCACAAAGTCACATATTGGCTGATATGTTTTCTTTTTTTTCAGCATTTATTTATTTATTTATCCTTTTCTGTGGGATTGTTTTTCTCCCTTTATCCCCCGTTTTCTGTGACAAACATATAGTGAATGTTGATCAGCGGTTTCTCAAGAATTGGGGTGGGGGGGGTCCATTTTGTTTTTTAATCAAGGGCCACTTAGATCGTGGTTGCAGGCTGCTAATTGGCCATCCCAGAGATTTCAGGGCATTTCAGTGATTTTTCATGTTGTCTTTGATGACACTGGGAGAAAGATATGAAACCTTGTTTGAGCATTTATTCCACATCTTAACATCCAGTTCAAGGTCCATGTACTAGTCAGGTCTTTGTTGTCACTAGTAGGCCAACTTTGGTATATGAGTAAGGCAACTACATCTTGCTTCATGTATACTGTACAGTGATCCCTCGCTACTTCATGGTTCGTTTATCGCGGGTTCAGTGCATCGTGGATTTTTTTCAAATATATAAAAAAATATATATATTTTTTTTTTTTGTTTTGTTTTATATATATATATATATTTTTTTTTTTTAATATACATGGAGTACAGTACTGTATATGTTGCTCTATGTGACTCGCTGTTGTTTTGCAGCTTCTCGCGGACCGTTTGCGGACTTAAAAAATATATATATTTTTTTTTAACCTGTTTATGTTAATTGGACGCTACTTCGCGGATTTTCGTTTATCGCGGGTGGTTTTGGTCCCCATTAACCGCGATAAACGAGGGATTACTGTATTAGGTTCTTCACATGTTAAATACATGCTGGAATAAATGCTCAAATGACTTTCCATACAAAAAAGGCAATTACAGTTCTTCTCAGTTGCTTTGGTACATTTTTCAGATCAGAACTGAATTTCTCAAAATGTCTTTGAGCAAGATGCAAATGCTTTGCCATGTCCATGCAAATGATTATGTACAATTATCTCCTGTTTCTGACATTTTCGATTCCTGATGTCATGTTGCTCAAAATGTGTGACTTGAATTGTCTCACACTCAACATGTTGGCATTAGTTCTCCAGATAAATCAGTAAAGTGGTTAAACAAGTTGTCATAATATGTCAGGCACACGCCTATACATTATCTAAAGACATTTTTTCCAGTTGAATCTTGATTTTTTTTTTCTTACAATGCCAAATGTGTGAAGCATTCAATCAAACAATGATTGACAGGTTTTCTGAAAAAGCTCATAGAAGTGAAGCTAATTGTTGTGATTTGGATGAGAATTTGTGGCCCAAAGTAAAGCGGGAGACTGTGTTATAAATGCTACAGTGTTGCATGTACAATTTTCCCTCATTGTTTTATCCAATGCTCACATTTCGACTTTTGTCTTTGTGCGATGCAGCGCTCTTTTCCTTTCTGTATCACAGCGAGATGGTTTGTCAACTTAAGTATAAAAAGTGAAATGCGAATCTTGCCCAGTGTCTTGCAATCAATCTTCTACACAGATAAAAGTCTAACTTTTACATTAAAAATTCAGATTTTGTAATCAAAACTTAAGCGGCAGTTTACATTTGAAAATCCCTCCGGAGCACACTGTCACTACTGACAACATGACGAAGCAATTTGACTGTCTTATCCATACACAATGACACCAAGACTTGTCCTTCTGATGGCACTGACACGTTCAGTGACACAACTATTTACTTTTGAGAGGTGTACAAAAGATTTTGAGAAAGAAAATGACTCTTGCGGGGGAATCGTGATGTTTTGTTTTTTGTATGAATTGCGTTGAGCGATGCACTTACCGTTTTGCAAGTTTCAATTCTGATCTGAGAAATGGATCGAAGAGATTGAGGAAAGACAGGAGCAAGGCTCCCTTTCCCTCAATGGCTCTCCGTTGTTGTTGGACACTGCCACCTGCTGTGTATTTTAAAACCATGCATGCATGACAAAACCTTTTTGAAGATCTCATCATTAAAAAAAAAAAAGCTGCAAATCATATCCTCCAGAATAGAATGTTGATTGATGATGATCACGCTCGCCTGTGGTTGACTTCATCTTCACATTAATGCAATTTTTTTTAGTTTGTTAGAATTGCATTAAAACTACAGTGACATTCATTTTGGATACATTCAAATTATTTTTTTTTTAGAATAGTGTGAGAGTGAATGTTTGTTTATCTATATGTGCCCTGCGATTGGCTGCTGACCAGTTCAGGGTGATGTTTTTGACATAGTGTGTTTTTGTGACAATGTAGTTCTTTTGTATCATTCAATATAGAATCGGAAGCTTTACGAGAGAATGTCCTACGACACACCAAATCAAAATCCAGCTTTTCATCGCAATTGAACCTTTTCCAGACAAAATCAAGTGACATAGGAGACTCAACTAATTGTGATTCCTTGCCTGAAGTCATCATGTTCAATCATTTACAGTGACAATCTGTCACGTGTTTGGGCCCCTCTGGGCCTCGCCTGTATGCATCCATGTGTGTTTGCTGTCACGCGTACGGCGCAGCTGAACGCACAGATGCACACTAATCAAGACAAAGCCATTAAAGCAAGCGTTCCACTTTCGGTGCAGCTCAGGTGGCTGTCATCATTTCAATGCGCTTGTACCTTCAAGTCCACCCACCTTGAAACTTGGTGCTCGAATGGGATGGAACTATGCAGTCTTGGCGAGGGAGTAGAGGGGAGGAGGGTAAAGAAATGGACAGCCCCTTGGTCAGTGGCTTGGACCTTGCCCGGCTACCGTGGTAACCGCTGTCCAGGTGCGGTGCATGACCATCGCACCCCAGCTGCAGAGTGTTGGGAGGATGTACCCCGCCACCTACAGAAGACAGGAGAAAGACACACATGAAGTCTCAAGCCATTAACATGAACTGTTGGTAGTTGTCTGTTATGGAATTCTCAAATGAAGATATATCACATTCCTCAAAAAAACTAAATTCTCACAAGAAAATTCCATCTCTAAGTCTCACATTCCAAATTTCACTGCAGGGTCACATCTCCAGCATTCACATGCACTTTCTCCAGAAAATGCATTCTCTAAATTCTTCACAATATCTTTACATATGAGCTGTCTCTTGGCAGATTTACAATCAATAATTTTAGATATGAAAGTGATTTATCTCCCCCACCAGTAGATGGCGCCAGACAATTTCACACCCAGCCACTATCAATTCACATTGGTTTCCTTTAATGAGATATTTAGCTGGTTTGCTTTCTGCCAATAAACCCCACAGAAGAGCGAGAACGGACAATACATTACGTACAGTTGTGTTTTCTTCTTGCATTTTCCGTTGGGTGATAAGGTGGGAAGAAAATATGTGTTTTTGTGCAGAACAATGTTGAGTGAAATTTTGTTGATGAGAAAACGTGTAAAAAAAATTACTTTTGTCATGTTTTTCAGGGTGCTAGAATATAATTGCATTTCCATTTATTTCAAACCGTTTTGAGAAATGAGTTTGATCACTGAATAAATTAAACTCTCATCTGAAGGCATCATTGTACCAGACTGAAGTACTTTTGCAAGCAGCACAATAGTGTTGTTCGTCTGCTCTACCTCAAAAAGGAAACAACATAAACTGAAATGTGAGTGCGCACAGGAATTGTTTAAATCTTTGGTGATTCCCCCATTTTTGCCAATGATCAGGGCTGTTCAAATGTACTGTAAGCAAAACACGCAGTATCATTTTAATGAGACCAACTCTGCTCCTCTGCAACCAAGGGCGGCACGGTATTAAATATTAACGAGGACAATGCTTTCTCTGATACGGAGCTCTACTTATGTTTGTCTATCATCATAGCCCTCTTTGAAGGAGTATCTGTACTGCAGCAACTGCAGCCTATGAAATACATGCAGTACATTTGCTTTACTTCATCATCAGCCATTTGACATTTTCACAATTTAGTTCAAATTGCTGCCCCAAACAAAGATTAAGGTGGTTTTAAAGTAAATGCAACACAAGCGGCCGATTGAATCTACTTAATTCATAGGCTATTCTTCCCTGTATTGTACTAGGTCACCATGTTTTCTTCTGACACACTTGAAATGAGGCTAACTGAACTGGCTCTTCTTGAATCACCCCAGAGAACATTGCTAGTTCCTATAAGCAGGTTCATTCAATATTATAATAATCCCTACTTTCACATTAATCAGGTATTCTACTGAGATGATAATGACCCAAAATTAGCATATGATGCAAGTTGTGTGTTTATTTGTGCTTACCAAGGTGTTTCTGCCTCCTCGTTCCAGCTGTTTTTTCTTCCTTGTGTTTTTTTTGTCCAAACACTGCCTTGAACATTCTGCTCAGTCTGTAGAAGATGGGAGACTGCTCTTTATTTGTTTCTTTGGCGCCACGATAGCAGATTTCATCGGATATTGTTGCAGTCAGAAAAAAACATTTCTTGTTTGTTTTAATCGACGACACATTCGTGTTACCTGTTAACGGCTTCTTGAGTGATGTCTTCTTGTAAATCCACACATCACTGACAGACCCTGTGCACCTCTTCTGTCGACTACCCACTGAAGTAGAGTCGACAAGCACATGCGGATCCGTTTAATGTCCCAATTTTGAGGTATTAATATTTCATCGTTTGCCCTCTTAAAGAAACAATGTGACTTTTTTTTCCCACCTAATCTATTTCATCACAAATCCATGCCAGCAACATAATTGAAATCACATAACCAGAGGACGCAATTTCAGGACAAATGGTTTGTGAAGAGCAGAAGCCGCACAGAAACTGTGGACTTATTTGAATTATTGAATGTGAAACTTGAAATGTGGAAGGAGGGGGTGAAAACTGAAATTATATTCCAATATAAGAACTTTATTTAGAAAATTTAGGGAAATTCCTTGCAAGATGCCCTGAATATTTCCAAGTTGCAATGGTTTGAAACCGTCAAGAAATAGGAAAGGTGGTGATAAAAACCATATACTGTACACATATAATCATCTCATCATATTGTAACACGAACACAAGTGGCCCTGCATGTATTTGTTGGAAAATAGTAACAACCAGACGTACAACTACAGTATTTTTCATTGTTAAGAAAGGTTGGGGGGAAATGCTTCTAATATCTGTTAAAAGTGAAGAAAATCTGCACATTTTCTGCAGATCCATCCATTTTATAATCCGCTTTATCCTCACAAGGGTCGCGGGGCATGCTGGAGCCTATTCCAGCCGTCTTCGGGCAGTAGGCGGGGGACACCCTGAACGGTTGCCAGCCAATCGCAGGGCACGGCACGCACAGAGATGAACAACCACCCGCGCTCACACTCACACCTAGGGACAATTTGGAGTGTTCCATTAACTTGCCATGCATGTTTTTGGAATGTGGGAGGAAACCGGAGTACCCGAAGAAAACGCGCACAGGCACGGGGAGAACATGCAAACTCCACACAGGGAGGCCAGAGCCGGAATCGAACCCTGCATCTCTGCACTGTGAGGCCGACGCGCTAACCACTCGTCCCCTGCCCCAATCTGTCTTTGTCTAAACCTGTCATGCATACAGAGGACGAGGGATGAAGAAGCAGAAGGCCTGACTGCTGGACATTAATTACACACTTGCTCTGGATATCTCCCATTACCCCTGGAAGAAACAAGCACAGGGCAACAGGGCCCCTTTTATATTATAGAATTATATAGAATTATAGAATCTCGAGAGAAAATAAAAATAAAAAGGTAAAATAATCAGACCGACGGGCTGTCATTCAAATCTTTGCGCGCAAAAGGTTGGATTTGAAAATCGAAGCTGTTTCAATTGGCCTGCAAACTGTAGCAATTTCCCCATCTAAATCAATAGGTAGCGGCAATGTACGAACACGATTTGCAACCACCGTTGAGCCACGAAGAAGAACAAGCACACGAATAAGAAGAAGCAAACGTCAACGAGAAAGATGAAAAAGTTAGCGAGATTCTTTGATCTATTGCGTTGCTTCCGTCATTGGCACGTCGTTTTTTTTTTCCTTTACAATTTTTCTCGTATAACAGAGTTAACGTCATCTTGGTTCAGCGTGAATCGTTCCAAGCAGCCCAGTAGCTTGCAAGCAAGTGTGTGTGCAGTGTGTTGGTAATTATTGTATCAAAATGTGTAAAGTCGAAATGCTGCGAGCGCTGCTGAACCAGCGCCTCAGTGCGGCCGTTGATGAAGTTTTAGTGCTGTTTCTAAGAACGATAGCAGAGTACGAGGAGGAACTTTGTCGGACAAAAGAGGAGAACAAGCGACAACGTCAACTTTTGGACGCTATTTTCAAGCCTCAACCTGCGTTACACATTGCAGGTTTGTCCCTTACTCTCGCTTGTTCTGTAACGAAATGATATGAAAGTATTATGAGATCACAGTTTTTAGTATTTCTAAACATTTTGAACGTGGAGTGACAAATTCCGTTTTTTCCGCTATTCGCTGCAGGGCTCGATCCCTATCCACGACTTTTTGGATTTGTTTATGTGACGTTCGCAATGCGAGCCTGGGGGCTTTTTAACGTCAATTTGAATGGACAACCAATCTGATTGATTAATCTGATTAAATTTGACTCCACCAATGCAGTATTAATCAGATTACCTTGCTCAAAGTAGTCTGGGCTACATTGAAGATATTGCAAAGACATTTTATGCCCTTAATTTATTGGCCATGACATTCGTCAAAGAAGAAGAACCTGTGCCTGGTGGTTGCGCCTTCTCGGCGCCCTCGTGTACCAGCACTGATTTTGACTGGGAGGAATGTCGGCGCCATTTGACTGTCGTTGCTGGACAGCTCCGGGGTGCTTGTGTCTTGCGCCTGAAATAGGCAGCATTTTCACAGCCCCGCTTTGTTCAGCGAAAAGGTCGGTGCTGATGGACAGTCTGCGGCTGGATGGATGCATGGCTTGAGGAGCCGACGATGAGAAGAAAGGAGCGTCAGCGCAGAGCACCGATGCGTATGTGGAACTGGGAGTCGCGGCTTGGAATTGAAGCGCATTTACATGGGACAGAAGAAGAGAGAATCTCTCTTTTTCCTTAATGGATGCTACAGCTTCTTGTTGCTTTCAAGTTTAGCTTGTAGCAGACGTGTGCACATTTCAGCATGACGTCTGTGATCCACTGGTGAAAAGGGTACTTTAATTCGCTCCGCTTTCATCTATAACTGCTTCGAACAACAAAGTGAATGGATGAAAAGTGGTTACGATGGCACGACTGTCTGTTTTATGTGTTGTGTTGTATTATTTTGTCATTTTATGTTAAGTGTTCTTTTGATGGCGGCGCGGGCACCCGCAGCGGCTCCTCTTGTTGTCTGTTTAAGAGGGCGGTAATTTCATTACACATACAGCACATTTGACACTAAAGTTGTGCTTAACTTGATACTTGACTTCATTGGAATTTGATCATTTCCAGTGGTGCAACTGATGAGATATGGCACAGTGGTTGGTTGCGCATCACTCATTTAAACCATGAAATAATGTTATTTGAGATTAGCTAGTTTTTCTTTTTGTGTCCATCAGATGTTAATCAAGATCTTCATCTCGAGCAACACAAGTGGAGCTCCAGAGCGAAGCAGGAGGAGCCAGAGGCCACTAATATTAAAGAGGAAGAGGAGGGACGCAAAATCGCTCAGGAGGCAGAGCAGCTTCAGGTGAAGTGCCCGGTGATTTGTGTCCCTGTGAAGAGTGAAGACTATGAAGACGACAGCCAAAGTGAGAAGAACAGTGGGGCGGTGCCTCCAAGCAGCAGCTCAAGTCAACGCATGACAACAGGAGATGATCGAGGATCACAAGCAGACCACCGCTTAGCTCCACTGTCGGATCATAACGATACAACATCTGACACCGGTGATGAACATGCTAAAGGTAATAAGTGTCGCACTGGTGAGACACACCCGAGATGTCCTCAGTGTGGCAAAACCTTTGCCCGCAAGAGAAATCTGAAAGAACACATGATGATCCACACAGGAGAGAAACCGTTCGTGTGCTCGTTTTGTGGTAAAGGATTCTCTCAAAAGGTCAACATGATTACACACGTGAGAACGCACACTGGAGAGAAACCTTTTTACTGCGTTGTGTGCAGTAAAGGATTCCGCGGAAAGTCACTTTTGACAAGGCACATCAGGACACACACTGGTGAGAAAGTGTTCAGTTGCAGCATGTGCGGCCAAAGATTTTCTTATAAGTATCAGCTTGACAAACACACATGTACAGGTGAGTGCAACAGAACATGAAGCCTTTCCAACATTAACGCAATGGGGATTTACTGTGACTCTTATTTACTGTGTTTGCCTGCTCTCTTTCAAGTCGTGATTATTTGGGGTTGTCCTGTGACACTTGCAGTCACCTCCTCCATTATTATAATGACTTTTTTTCCACCCTTTGTGTCCGAAGCCAAATTTGAGTTGCAATCAAGCTTCAGATTTTTTGCAGCTAACTCAAATGAAGTGGGAAATAAAGTGAAGGAATTAGGGTGCTGTAATTAATGTATTGCAGGTGGGCAAAGAGAACCACAGTCGCCGATGTACTTTGTGCCGTTCATTGATTGGTACAAACAGTCAAACACACAAATGCAAAATAAAAACACTTGCAAGGAGCTGATGACCACATTAAAGAAAAACAGCTTTTATTTACATTCTTTTTTTTTTGTTTTCGCACAATTGAGCACTATTTTAATTATTAAACACAAATTGTTTTTGTGTGTAGAGCTGGAGTTTATTTGACTATTCAATTAATTTCAACAAGGACCATTTATTTGATTTAGTCGAAATGTCTGGGCTGAGCACAAGAAGAGTGAATTGGTGAATTTTTCAATTTCAGCAAAAAGAAACGGAGGGTAGGTTCCCCCATAAAACTGCAAATAGTTGAACAATAAACCTGCGGGAGAACAGTATGCAGGTTGACACTTGCGCTCCTCCGTTTCATTAGGCAAACGTAAAATGTAACGACACCTCCATACTGAAGGTAATGCATCAGACTAGATCGAGTTTACTGACACGTTTGTTGTCTTGTCCGCTGCAAATGAAATAAAAGGGGAAAATAGGACGTTGTGTCTGTCATTACGGCCACGGCTTTATGTGGGAATTTCTGTATCAAAATTAGACTTTTCCTTCATTTTGTTACATTGAAGTATTCGTCAACTCGCCTCGGCGCACGTTGAAGCTTCTCTGGTGTGGCTTAGCGTTTTAGCCACCAGCAAAGACACGAAAGTGTCATTGATTCACCGCTTTTCCTCACTAGCTCTATCGTGTGAAAATCTGTCAAGTGGAAATGCTGATAGCGTTGCTGAAGGCGGCAGTCGAAAAAGTATTTGTAGTGTAGTGAGAATGATCGCAGAGGGACTTTGTCGAATAAAAGAACGACAACGTCAACTACTAGACGCCGTTTTCAAAAAGCCTCAAGATGGATCACAGAGTAGGTTTGTTGACTTCTTCCTCTTCACACTTGTACTCAAAACATTTAACTTGCTATGATTGTGCATTTTAGAAGCGTAACCCCAAGAGCTATTTAAATTTGCTTAAGATAGTTTTCTATAATTGGAATGATTTGTAATAATTGGACCCCTCCCACAATGACAGTGTTAAATCCATGGAAGCATTCTTGTTACGGATGTCCAGATTACAGTGCCATTTTGTGTATTTGAAGTTGATGTTGAGTGGCATTGCCACACCTATATTAACCATCGTTCATTATTCACACAATGTTAGTGTAGCTTTCGAGGTGTAGGCCGTTTTACATTATAGTAAAACTCACAATAGAGTGTCGGTGTGACGGCGGTCATCCGGCGTGGTCCTGCCCTGGGCTACATACATTACCACCGTACCCCGGTTGAGAGTCGAGTGTGCGGGCTGCTAACCCACCAACTGCTGATACTCTTTAGACTCACAAAGTGTCTAATCTGCACCCAATCCAGCTATTATACTGATTTAACAATTGAATTAATCGAGGGTTGATTGGTCATGCCTGGCGAGTCAGGCACGATGTTGACAGAATAGATAAGTGACAGTTATGTGACTGTCTCAGGTGCGACATTATTGTAGCAACAGACCTTGGTATACTATATACATTAAATGAACGATATAAACTATCGATGTTTATATCCTGGGTTATCTTTTTATATATGGATTTCTTGATTTGAGATCTGTTTATTGATATTGCACAAATTGTAGAAATATTACCGTGACATGATTTGACTGTCTATTAATAATATATACCAACATGGAACTCATTCATATCTTGTTTTTTTTTCTTTGTTTGATTAGATGTGACTTTGTAAAGATTTTAACTAATGCTGCTATTTATTAGTTTGTACACAGTTTTTACTTGTATATGCATAAATATTGATGCTGTGACCATTTAATTTCCCTCACGGGATGAATTCTATCCATCCATCCATCCATCCTTCCTCCCTTCCTTCCTTCCTTCCTTCCTTCCTTCCTTCTGGTCTGTCAACAGTGTAATAACACCATCGCACCAAAAGAGGCAGTATTGGACTTGAATGTGTCTGGCTCACCGGAAGTAAAAGGGCAGTGATTAGGCTATGTTGTTGTTACCTCACAACTGCGTTGGCAAAGGATTTTGTGCGTATTGCTGTCACGCAACTGACTCGTTTTAACACTTAAAGTATGTATCAACTCATCGTAGCTCATTCGTTTTACCACTTAAAGTATGTATCAACTCATCATAGTGCATTTTGTGACTTCTCCAGATAGCCTGGCTTGTTGACTACGAACAAAGACAATCGCCACATCACAAAACAGATCGAGTGAGTAAAGTGTCGTGTGAAAATGTGTAAAATAGAAATGCTGCGAGCGCTGCTGAATCAGCGACTAACATCGGCCGCCGAGGAAATTTTTGTCGTGTTTGAAAGAATGATAGCAGAGTACGAGGAGGAACTTAGTCGGACCAAAATAGAAAACGAGCGACAACGTCAACGACTGAACGCTTTCGAGACTCGAGTCGTGCTTCGAAGAGCAGGTTTGTTCAATTATTTTATTTGTCCATCCATTTTCTGATCCGCCTATCCTCACAAAGGTCGCCGGGCGTGCTGGAGCCTATCCCAGCCGTCTTTTGGCAGTAGGTGGGGTACACCCTGAACTGGTTTCCATCCAATTACAGACTCTTATTTGTTCAGGAACTAATTTAGTTTGAAAAGAAGCACACACACAAACAGCATTCCTCGTTTGTTTCTCGAATGGAATCCTCATCGACCCTTTTACCATGATTTAAAATGTTGTTCCGGATAGCAAAGAGCCTCCTTTGACTGGACCACTAATAAACAAATCCTTCAATGACATTTGACCAAGGCACAGTGATTAACAAAACAGGGTAAATGGCTCAGAAAATGTTAACGTGAAGGAAATAGCTTCCAAGTGAGACGGCTGTAATTTACATTTCTACAGGTAAGTTGGACAGTAAGCAATGTCTTGGGCTAATTCAGTGACATCACTGTTTGAGTATGAATATAACCGAAAAGTAAGTGTGACTTTTCTAAACTACATGTGTTCATCTTGTTTATTGCAGATGTGAGTAATGAATGCCTCCCCATTGAGCAGCAGGAGAGGAATTCCAGAGTGGAGCAGGAACAAGCCAAACCACCCCTCATTAAAGAAGAGGTGCATCCTCAAGAACTGGACTTCCCAATGTTCTCTGTCATTGTGAAAGTTGAAGATGATGATGAAGGCAAAGGTCAAAGTAAGAACGGAGCGCAGGAGCCTTCAGGCAACAGCTTAAGTGACCACATCACAATAGAAGGTGATGGTGACCACTGCGAAGGATCACGAGCAGAAAGCCTCTTAGCTCCATTATCAGATAGTGGTGGCACAACATCTGACACTGATTGTGATGAACACTCGAAAGAGGAAATGACATGTAACGCTGACGATGGACAGTGGAAATGTTTTCAGTGTGACAAAACCTTTAGCCACAAGATAAATCTGAAAAGACACACGATCCTTCACACGGGAGAAAAACCATTCAGCTGTTCAGTTTGTAGCAAAAAATTCACCCAGAAGGTGCACCTGACATCGCACATGAGAATGCACACAGGAGAAAAACCTTTCACTTGCTCGTATTGTGGTAAAAGTTTCAAGCGCAAGACGAATTTGACGTCACACACTAGGACACACACTGGAGAGAGGCCATTTTCTTGCCCATCTTGCAACAAAGGTTTTATTGATTACTCGGCAATGATTAAACATACAAGAACACACACAGGAGAGAAACCTTATTCCTGCTCATTCTGTGATAAAAGTTTTGGTGCAAGCTCAACATTAGTGACACACCTGAGAACACACACAGGAGTGAAACCTTTTTCTTGCTCAATCTGTGACAAAAGTTTTCATGATTGTTCTGGTTTGGCTCACCACATGAAAACACACACTGGCGACAAACCTTTCTCTTGTTCGGTGTGTGGAAAAAGCTTCCGTGAAAATTCTCTTTTAACCAGACACATGAAAACACATACTGGTGGGAAAATGTTCATTTGTAGTGTGTGTGATCAAAAGTTCTCCTATAAGCATCAAATTGACAAACACCGATGTGCTGGTGAGAAGGGCAGCAGTGCATGAAGCCGCAGTACTTTCAATATACCTTGCAGGTATGACGTACCACAACTTGCCGGCCATCACTGAGGTCTACTGGAAGAGATGCAGCATGTTATAAAGAGCAAGAGATGAGCAGAGACTCTCTAAACTAGTATTTTTTTTAAGTTTTATAGTTATAACATCTAAGCTAATTTCCATTAGCCCCTCCGGGACTTTTTCAAATTCTTTATTTTAGGATTACACCAGTGAATTTTCATGAGTGTTTAAATGTACAATGTTTAACTCTCTTTTTAATCTGTCTTACAATAAACTTTAAGAGGAAAAAAGAAATAGCTTGAAGCAACCACGTTTTACCTCTTATTTGGAGAACTGTGTGAACTCGAGTGAGAAAAGGCGCTAAGGAATACCGTGCAAAGTGTGTTGAATGAGTGCTATTTTTTAAAAGAAGTTTAAGTGTGGTCAGGGTTAAAATACATAAAACAAGTTATATATGCTCTTTCTAGATCTTGGTTATTCATTTATTGCAGCTGGTTCTGGAATGTATAGCTCATGATAAACTGGGTTTAGTGTCAGTCACAATAACTATCAATCAAATCACATCATCTATCCATTTTCTAATCCGCTTATCCTCATAAGGGCCGCGGGCGTGCTTGAGCCTCTCCCAGCTGTCTTTGGATGGTAGGCGGGGTCAACCCTGAACTGGTGGCCAGCCAATCGCAGGGCACACATAGGCGAACAACCATTCGTGTTCACACTCACATCTAGGAACAATTGAGAGTGTTCCATTAACCTGCCACACATGTTTTTGGAATGTGGGAAGAAACCGGAGAAAATCCACACAGGCACGGGGTGAACATGCAAATTCCACACAGGGAGGCCGGAGCCAGAATCGAACCCTGTGCCTTTACACTGTGAGGCCGACGTGCTGACCAGTCGATCTCCGTGCCACTTCAAACCAGTCATATAAAAAAACCAATAAACCACAGAGGCTCCGGGTTGTCAAGATGACTAATCGTCATCTCCCACTGCCCTGAGTTAAGTAACGGCACAACAGCTACTCTTTTTAGCTGTGACTCCATTTTGAGGTGGTCACATGACACCAGTTTATGTGAGTGCACCCCACCCTATCCCTCTTTCATTTTCATTCAATTTAATCTCCTCTTCTTGCAGCACAAAGCCGAAGACACACCATGTCAAACACACAGTGAAAACATGTCTTCGCGATTGGACAGTAATACACTTAATTTTTAATTTGCTGAGAATCATCCCTATTCGTGTTTTATGTGCTCCTTCTGAAACTCAGCAAGAAGCCACAAGATAGCATCAAAGTCATTAATTTTTCCATTCTGATTTTTGTTAGAGAACAGTTGCTCGAAGACAGTCCTGAAATATTTGGACACGTGCATTCAAAAGTTTAGAGACGGTCAATCTATGTTTATGTAAAGGCATGTGCATGTTTTAGTTCATCCTGAAATATCACCACAAAGTCCAACCTTTTATGAGTAAGGTACACTCTGAAAGTGCAATCAGGACCCCTGAAAATTGTCAGAATCGTTTTATGATTTTGCATTTGTACTTCACCACAATGGATCTGAAAGAAAGCAATGAAGATGTGACAAGTAACTTTATGCTTTTCTGGAGGTGTCACACAAAGAGATACCAGCAATATTGCTAATATTCATGAAAGTATTTTAGTGAAGTGGATGCAGGTTCCTTAATTAAAAATTAACATGACACTCTAATCATCTAATCACCTCTTTGTCCACAACTTTATCCGTGAAAACAAAACCACTGTGATGATACAAACATTTTTCCAGGTTACCAAAATTGAAGAATTAGGTGGAAAAGAGACGTTTAAAAAAGTTGCCTGAACACATTGCTGCCAGGTTTCCACACCACTCAGATCTTTCCTCCTTTAAGACAATTAAATCAGCACAATGAAAGCTATATGCAATGTAAAATTTTTTTATTGATTTTTTTACTTACTTATTTTTTACTGATTAGAAAAGGTCAGAGCAGACTTTTCCTACTCATGTATTTTGAGTAATATCCCCACCGCTGTATTTCAAAAAAATATCGTTACTTCGCATTTTATTACTTAGACTGGTGGATTGGTTCTAGCGTGTTAAATAAATTAAAATTGAAGCAGTCAGTGGTCCGCATTTTCTCTATGCGGCCTTCGTAAAAATTAATCTTAGAACACCCCTGTCTTTAACATTGCGAAAAACTTATATTCCTCAGGAAGTTGTTTACAAAACACAAGCAAACTGTTAATATCATTGTAATTCAACCCACTAATGAAATTGATTGCATTTTTTTTTCGTCACTAAATTGGCGAACCGCTGCCCGATGCAGTTGGTTGGGCGAGACGTTTAACGTCATCGATGACGGCATTCAGACCAAATTGAACGACTCCGTCGCTGAGGCTCAGTCACTTCATTCCCACGAGCGGTAGCAGAATGCACATCTATTCAAGAGCTGCTATGACCACCAACACTCACACCCTGTTATTGACTGTTCACTTGAGCTAACGTTCAAGTCATCATCATCATCTTCAAAGACATCACTAACACGCTCACAACACTGTCGTTAAAGCGCAACAAGGAGCATGTCAATCATCTCGTCAAAAAGCCTCGACATAATACGTCCCACCAAGACTGGGCATCATTCAGAAACACGTCTTGATGCCCTTTGGAAGTTCTCAAGTCAGTGTACGGGTTTGATGTAGCATAACTCGCCTAGACATGCCTGGGCAGCTGTAAGCGTGACGCAATAAAAAAGCGACGGTGTGCTATGTTAATAAAACGCCTTGACTAGCAACACATCGCTAAGCAGAGTGTGAAGTCTTTGGAACATTGTGTGAAAATGTGTAAGGTAGAAATGCTGAGAGCATTCCTGAATCAGCGACTGAGCGCGGCTGTCGACGAAATAGTTGTAGTGTTTGAAAGAACGATAGCAGAGTATGAGGAGGAACTTTGTCGGACAAAAGAGGAAAACGAAAGACAACGTCAGCTGCTGGATGCTATTTTCATACCTCAAGTCTCGGTTCAGAGATCAGGTTTGTTGACCTCTTATTCTTACGTGGTTTGTCAATAATTTAATAATGATACGATCAACGTAATCAGAGGCAGTAGCTGTCATTTCAGAATTGAGGTGAGGGAACAAATTGTTCAGGTCTGGACCGTGCATTTGCTACTTGGCTGGGCCTTACGTGGAGACTTGTCCGACTTAATCCACCTGTTGCCACGTCGTATTAAAAAATACTATTCAAAAACACATTAAAACAGCCCACAACCTTGCTACGTACATTCTCTGGAGCAGTTAACAATTATCGCGTCACTCATAAAATGACAAAACATGAACTTTCTAAATAACATGCATCATACTCATGAGCGAGGCTGATTATTAAATGTCTTAATGTGTGCAGATTGTTGCATACGTGTTTGGCTCGTCGAATATACGGTGCCCTCCATGATTATTGACACCCCTGTTTAAGATGTTAAATGTCTTAAAATAAATTCAATTTCCATTGCGCAAGCATATTCTCACATAGAAAATTGTACAAATTGCCACCTTCGTTCCCAAGGTGTCACCAGACTTCGTAATGAGTTTATTGATGTTTTTATTTATTTTGGTCCCTGGCACTGATATTGTTCCCCAACAGACAACGCCAAAGTAGATGACACTTGTTAATGCGGACGCGTAGATTTCCAGCATCTTGTTGTACACACTGAAGGATCTGAGCTTCATCAGGAAAACAGTCTGCTCATACCCACCCCTCTTGTACAGAACATCCATTATTGTATTCCATTACAGTCTGTTGTTCAGGTGTCCTCTCAAGCACTTGTGCTGCGGCACCATCTCAATGTCCTCCTTCATGATAGTAAAGGTTGAGTGGTATGTATGGGTCCTCCTAAAGTCCATAAATGGGGGCTTAATTTTGTTAGTGTTGAGGACTTATTATTCCTGCTGCGTCAGTCCACAAAGTTGTCCACGGGCTCTCTATACTCCATCTGTTAGCCACCAGGTCGTGTCAAAAGATTACAGAGAATGATGTCCGAATAATCTCTACCATAGGTGATCTATGTTTATTTAAAAACTATTCAGAGCACAATTGTGAAGATGGTGCTGCTGCAACAGAGTGGCTTTTTTTCTCACAGCAGAGTCTCAGTTTAGTTTTTTTCCTTGTGGTACTATGAATAACACAGTAATTGTTTGGCATGCTGAAAATGAAAATGTGGCGCATTAATACACAACTTCAAAGCCTCCATCGATTTTCTGGACCGCTTATCTGCCCTTGGGTTGCAGATGTGCTGGAGTCTATCCCGGCTGACTTTGGGTGAGAGGCGGCCAATCGCAGGGTTTATACAAACAACTATTCACAGCTAAAGCCAATTTAGAGTCTTCAATTTGACTTTATCAAATCACCTGTATTTGTCTTCTCGTGTCCTGCAGAGGTCAATGAAGAAAATCATCTTGTGCAGCAGGAGTGGAGCTCCAGGGTGGAGCAGCAGGAGCCAGAACCTCCCTACATTAAGCAGGAAGAACAGGAGGATGATGTCACGAATTTGCCATTAACGGTTATCCCCGTGAAGAATGAATGTGATGAAGACAAAGGTCAGACTGAGCAGAATAGATGGGCTGCGCCTCCAAGCAGCAGCTCAAGTCACCACATGACAAGAGAAGGTGATGGAGACCACTGTGGAGGATCACAAGCAGAAAGCCTCTTGGCTCCACTGTCAGACAATGACTACATAACGGCACACTCGCCTGAGACTGATGAGGAAGAACACTCGAAAGGTGATATGACATATCACACTGGCAAGAAACACTGGAAATGTTCCCAATGTGACAAAACCTTTGGTGTCAAGATTAATCTTAAAAGGCACATGATCATTCACACAGGAGAGAAACCTTTTGCCTGCTCAGTTTGTGGTAAAAGATTCACCCAAAAGGCACACTTGACATCACACTTCAGAACGCACACTGGAGAGAAACCTTTTGCCTGCTCATTTTGCGGTAAAAGATTCTCTCGAAGTGAATGTTTGATAACACACACAAGAACACACACTGGTGAGAAACCGTTTCGTTGCAATGTGTGTGATCAAAGATTTTCTTACAAGTATAAGATTAAGAAACACAAGTGTCCCGGTGAGAGGAGCAACAGTAAATGAAATGTGGAAAACATGGACTTTCTGACACCTTGACAAACTTTGAGTGCTTCTGGTTATCTTGAAAAATGTACATTGGACCACCAGGAGTGCCACCTGGACCCCTCACAACTATTACACATTGTATTCTTTTGCATTTATAGATCACAATAAATTTGAAATGAACCAATCAAGATCTCACCGAAGTGACTTTCTGCGTGTTTTCACAAAAAGAGATAACCTGCATAAAATGTCTGCCATGATATGCACATCACACTCAGTCCCTCAAAAATGTTTCCATGTCTCTTGAACTTTTTCGCAATTTGCCACATTACAACCTCAAAATTATTTTTATTGAGAATTTGTAGTATCGACCAAAACAAAGTAGCACATAACTGAAATAAAGAAATTTTACGCACACACACAAACCCAATTCCAATGAAGTTGGGATCTCGTGTTAAACAGAAATAAAAAAACAGACTACAGTAATTCCAAATCAACCTATATATATTTGAATACACTACAAAGTCAATATATTTGTTTAAACTGATAAACTTTATTGTTTTTAGCAAATAATCATTAACTTTGAATTTTATGGCTGCAACGCATTCGAAAAAAAGTCTGGACTGCAGGCAGGCCAGTGTAGTACCCACACTATTTTACAGCAATGCCATGCTGTTGTAACACATGCAGAATGTGGTTTGGCATTGTCTTGCTGAAATCAGCAAGTGCATCCATGAAAAAAACCTGCATGTACATTTCACCATTAATGGTTCCTTCACAGATGTGTAAGCTACCCATGCCATAGGCACGAAGGGACGAACATTAAATATCTTGATTTTGTAGTGCAGGGGTAGGGAAGTCCGGTTCCCAGAGAGCCATATCCTGTCTGTTTTAGATCTCTCTCTCATCAGCAAGCTCTGGAGAGGCCTGAAAGGATAATGAACAATTGTTCATTTGTTTTTTGACTAGCCCATAGTGCTGCGTTTTGGAAAGATTCGGAGAAATATATGTTGTGTAAAACAAATTGCAATGAATGGAAAACAGATCATTACTGTGTTCGAAAATAAAGAAAAAAAATTGTGTAGTATTGTTCAGTTAGATGTTTTGTTAAGAATTTTCATATCCATAAATGTGAATTTCTGAATTCCACCCTGTTATTTAAATCATTTTTGATGGAGGTAGATGATTATTTTAAGTCTCTTGATCTAATGAAAATGTAGATAAATCATTGCTTTACATTCAGAAATATTTAAAGAGAAACTTATCCCTGTTTTAAAAGATGTATGATTTTAATTGATTTTCTTTATTATTACTACAATAATTTTTATTTCTTTTAATATAGAATTTATTTTTGTTATACTGTTTTATATATATATATATATATATATATATACATATATATATATATATATATATATATATATGTGTAAAAGATGTTACATTGCATTGCCTGATGGTTGTGTTGTATCTATTTTGTCAAATAAAAAAGAAACTGTCTGTGAATGACAAAATTTAATTTCCAAGATTATAAACATATCTATCTATCTTTACACATTATTACATTAATTTGGTTATTAAAAATAACTTCGTAACACAGCGTGAAGATATGCTGCTATCTCCCTGCATTAAGATATTAAATCAAATGAATGAAATTCTTTGAAGATGATATATTCCTTTATTTACCTAAATAAAGAAATTTATAAAGAAGGTTTGCTGGAGGTCAAAATGTGTTGTGATAAACCACAACAACAAACAACTTTATTGGAATCAGCCATGTATGTTGTTTACATTCGCCATTGGTACTCAGATACTTGAGTATGGAAAAAAATGATGAGAATATACTATACTACTGCTTTATCCGCTTTACATGAGTGTAAATGAACATTATTTGATTTACGTGACACTTTACAGGCGTCTTGAAATTGTTATACGGCTTCAGTATACAGTAGAACTCACTACTGTACTGAAGAGAAGGAAATCGCGCCCGTGTAGTTAGTCCAAGTGGAGTTTCCGTAGTTAATCTCTGCAAGACGTCGCATTCCCACGAGTAAAATGTTGAGGCTGCCGGATCAGTTTCATAACCGCCTTACGGCGTCCTTTTCGCCATTACTTTGTCTTCTTTACATTGTCTTATCATCTGGCATAAAAAAACAGTTTTAACATCATTCACTTTTCCCGTCATCTCGGTGCGCTTGGAACTCCTCAAGCTAATTTAGCTCGCTAGCTGCGAACAAAGACGCGTTTGTGAGCAGCGCATGCTAGCAAGGCTAAACATGTTGACAGTGGAAAGCTGAGCGCGTTTCACAAAATTCTGACTGGTAAGGAAGTACGCGAAGAATGATAGCTGATTACGAGGAGGATTTTTTTACAGCCAAAAAGGAGGACGAACGGCAGCATCGTTGCGCGTTCCATACAGCAGGTTTGTTTTTTCCGTAAGTCCTTTCGTTTTTAGCAAGTCACATGTGCACGCCACAATTCACTTTTAAGCAAAGTATAATGACGAAAAAGATGGGATATTTGGTCCTCAGGTGACATTTCAGGACAGACCAAAAACCCATCGACCTGTACAAGTAAACCGTTTACTTGTACAGGTCGATAGAGGTTAAATAACGTTTACTGTAAACGTTATTTAACCTCTCGGCTTTTGTATGCACGACCAGCTGTGAAGTGTTTTACGTACTGTTCCAAAGCCCTGTTCCAAAATGTAGTACTGTAAATATTTAGTTTTTTTTCTTAGCCTCAAATTTATGTACACAAAACCACATCAAAAAGGGGAAAAAATACATTAGTAAAGTTATCAGAAAATACCATTTGTACATTTTCAGTAGTTCATTTCAGTTGTCATAAAGCGGGTTTGTGTGTATAATTTGCAGGGGCTGTAAATTGACAAAATTTAGAAAAATGTAAACACTAAGAATGTTCCGAATGACCTCAAAGACCGCACAACTGTTATTAATGAATTAAGTGAGTTGTATTCATTTTGTGAGTCTTTGATTTTCTGCCCTCCAGATGTCAGTGAAGATGAGATTTCTTCTGAAGGGCAGGAGCGGCGCTCCAAGTTGGAGCAGCAGGTGCCAGATCCCCCTCGCATTAAAGAGGAAGAGGATGAACACAGCATCAATGAGGAGGGTGACCAGCTTGAGGGGCTGGACTTTCCGGTGATTCGCGTCGTTGTGAAGAGCGAAGACGACGAAGACGAGCCTCACTCCTCACAGCTTCATGTCGGTGATAGCGAGAAGCGATCCCAAGCAGAAAGCCTCTTAGTTCCACTCTCGGAGAGTGAAGACACAAACTCACACTCTCCCGACACTGATGATGACGAACGCTCGAAAGGTGACAGGACATGTCGTAGTGACAACAAACACTTGACCTGTTCCGTTTGTGGGAGAAGCCTTTATGACAAGAAAACATTGAAAGTCCACATGAGGACGCACACAGGAGAGAAACCTTTCATCTGCTCGGTTTGCGGGAAAACATTCGCTCAGAGGGGGAATTTGATCAAACACACGAGAACGCACACTGGAGAGAAACCCTTCACTTGTCCATACTGCAGCACAAGTTTCAGTGACAGTTCGACGCTAGTGAAGCACATGAGGAGACACACGGGTGAAAAACCCTTCAGCTGCTCGTTGTGTGGCGAAAGATTCTCTCGGAAGTCCAATTTGACGACACACACAAGAACGCACACCGGAGAGAAACCTTTTGCATGCTCGGTGTGCAGTGCGATGTTCAGTGACCGTTCAACGCTGAATAAACACATGAGAACGCATACCGGAGAGAAACCTTTCAGCTGCTCAGTGTGCGGCCAGAGGTTCTCTCAGAAGGGACACATGACGACGCACACGAGACGACATACCGGAGAAAAACCTTTTGCATGCTCAGTCTGCCACAGCAGTTTCAGCGACCGCTCAACTTTTGTCCGGCACATGAGGAGACACACCGGACAGACGTGTTTGCCTGCCAGTATAGAAAAGCTGCACTGAAATGGCACGTTGGTGAGACAATGTTGAGTTGCAGTGTGTGTAATCAAATATTCTCTTGTAGACTTCTCATAAGTGAGGCATACCGGGCTTCCAGGTGAAATTTTCAAGATGACCTGAAAATACACTCCACACTGGTACCTTGATTTAGGATTGCTCCACATAAGAACCGTCTTTTCTTCTTTTTTTTTTCTTACTTTTGTATGTACAGTGTAAGTAAACTTCTTAAAACCATTTTATTTATTTACATTTTTTTATTGTTTAATACAGTACTGTGCTATTTTTATTTAAGATGTCGCAGTTTTACTTAGTTGCATGTTTAGGGGGCTTGCAAGTCAAGGCACCACTGAACTTGCTAAATGTGGAAAGTCGTTATTAAAAAAGTGAGAGAAAGGAGTGAACAAACAAACTCAAAAAGTAAACTTCTTAAAACCATTTTATTTATTTACATTTTTTTATTGTTTAATACAGTACTGTGCTATTTTTATTTAAGATGTCGCAGTTTTACTTAGTTGCATGTTTAGGGGGCTTGCAAGTCAAGGCACCACTGAACTTGCTAAATGTGGAAAGTCGTTATTAAAAAAGTGAGAGAAAGGAGTGAACAAACAAACTCAAAGTTGCTTGAAAACTGCATCCGGCAGATGACATCGCTTGTTCTGTTTTGTTTCAGAACGTGTTCTGTTGTCATTCTTGCACACATTTTCAGACTTACTCACACTTAAACTCTGCTTCGCAATGAGTTTGCAACAAATGTGTCTCTTTGTCAGGTGTTAGTCAACTAAACTATCTTGAGAAGCTTCCACGAAGAACTTCATTCTGAAATTTCACCCTGAAAGTCCAATGTCTAGATTTTTTTGTGAGTAGTGTTGGTGTCAAGTTAAGAAACATAAGTGTGCTGGTGGATGACGCGGCAGGCCAGATGGTTGTGTTGGTCGCTTGATTAGACAAACATAATCTCTGTGATGATAATGAAATACTATGTGATGTTAGTGTTAAAACCTATAGTCAAACACTTAAATGCACGCTTCTGTCTTCAAACATTTTCTGCTGGGACTACAGGTCACATCAATCCATCTCATTGGACCACTGAAAATAGGATGCGTCTGTCTGAGGTGAGACACACCTGCCGATTAATTGGGGCGCGCCTTCCATTAAAGCCAAGATTTGAGGAAATGTGCAATAGTTAAGCATTTTTGCCGCAGTTAGTTTGGCTTGTGTGACAGCCAGCCCCAGACATGGCAAAAATGATTCCATTGTGGCTAAACTATACCAAATTGTGCCCACGAAATGGACATAACATGCTCACAAAATAACTAATGTGGGTTTTATAGCATTCCCAGGGACAACTTGGATGTCGGGTTAAACAAATGGAGTGCACCTTCACTAGAAACGGCTATAATCCCGACCTTACTGTTCCTATTAGATCTTTATTCTGTCCAAAATGTATTCATTTTTCCACGTCACAGCTGGGCTTTCATACTTGTGGGCTATGTTTTCATGTCAATATGCTGCAATCATGGAGCTACAATGATGTATATTTTCATTCAAAACATTTGCCATCTTAAATCCAATACCGACTTTTACATAAGCGCAGCTTAGTTATGTAAGATAATATATAATCACGACTTGGAAGTTCCTAATAAATCACAATGTGAAGTGTGCAGAATGTTGTCATTGTGCTTTACTGGCTGAAAATAACTTTTGTCATTTCTTGGGCCAAGAAACGTAGGCCAGAGAGAGCATTTACCTCTTATAAAAAAAATAAAAACTGACAAAAAACTCACACTCACGAAAAGAATTCTCTCACATACACCAAAAAAAAAAAAAGGACTGCAATTCATGCTCTGTTATCTGAAGTGTCCAGTGAGATAAAGGATGAATTAGCACTCAGAGATGACGTCAGTTCGTCAGTTGACATTTCTACATGTCTGTTTGTGTTCCTGCGTGCACAAAGAGGATGTGCTTCAAGTTTCGCTCGCCCAGCAACATGCCTGGAGCTCTGTGGGTTTTCTTGTTGAAATGAGCAACACCTCGTGTTAGGAAACTTCCTCTTTTTTTATCTTGACTTAACCTCACACACCAAAGTCTGCATGTTTTCTGGAAGTTTGTTGAATCAATGTTTTTTTTTTCCTTGGTAGGTGGCCGGTACAGGCAAAGACACATAGGGTAAAGTAAAGCAGGTGTTTTAAACATTTTGGAGAACATTTTCCAATAGGGCCACCGCTTAATAAAATGGCAATTGAAAATAACTGTCACGCATACTCCTAAATCACGTAGGAATTTTTTATACATCCCTATTTTTGAAGGGGGCAGGGGAGCCAAATCTATGGCTTGCACCCCCCAGTTCATGTGAGGGCCACTGAGGTTAAACCCAAGTGGTCATGTGATCGGCTTCTACGCATGACATTTCCTGTTGACCTGATTAAAAAAAACTTGTCTGCAACACTGATCATCCACCCACTCTCACCACCAGTTTGATCTCAAGTGATGTGACACTTGTGACAGACCTCAGTCACACCAGGACATGTCAGCATCTGATTGTGGTCCCGTGATGCAAGTGCTTGTCCTTCTCTTCTGGCTCACGTTATCTTACGCCGTTGTTGAGGGTGAGTTTGTCCGAATCCTCCCGGCTGCTCGACATATTTTTTCTAACCCAAGGGTGGACAAACTTTTGTGTAATTTTGGTTTGGAAAACGGACAGATGGGCCAGGTCAATTGATTCAAAATGTACGTTTAGTATATAAACATTTGTTTTGAAATGTGTTATGTTTATTTTAATATGTACTAAAATTGTCAAAAACAAACATTTTCTTTAGAATTAATTTAACTAATTAACTAATGTATGAATTAATTATGCATTAATGATTTTTTTAATAATTAGATTATTAAGCAAGGATTTAAAAGAATAGAAAATAGAGGTTATAAAATGTTTATTTCATATTTTTATTCTATCATTTACAATGATTCTTGAAATATCTAAAGAAATATCTAAATATTTTGTATTTGTAATTAATCTAGCTGTAATTAAATCCATACTTAATGAAAAGAAATATTTAATGTATCCATCACAGTTTATTTCAGATTTTCAATTTTATTATTTACAATAAAACATGATAAGTTTATTTTTAAAAAGTAGTGATTTTTTAAAATTGTATTACAGTATTTATAACAATTTACAAGTATAGAGATGTTTTATTTGGGCCTTATGTGGCCTCCAGTCCATACATGTCCATCCCCGTCCGAACCTTTTCTTTGACCTTGGTGATAAGGTTGCCTAAAGTCCAACGATCTGCTTAAAGGTTCCGGGCTGTCTCACGACTCTGCCGAACAGAACCCCGCACCCACAGAGAGCAAGTGTGAGTTGACCCACCCCAAATGCTCTGTCAGGTATTTCTTCTCAATGCCTCTGACCTTCCCCACCTTTGTCCCTGTCGGACAGACTGTGAAGACATTCTCTCTGGCTGCCTTGCCCAACGTTCCTGGACCAGGTACAGTAACCTCCTTGAAGTGCAATGTCACATACATATGTTCAACCTTGCAAATGTACACGGTGTCCCAAAAATGTACAATGTTCCCGGTGGATGGAATAATGAATGAATGGATGGATAAATAGCACATTCAATCCCTAAATCCACCGTTTAAACACATTTAAAAACAATGCCGAAGGTACAGTAAATTAAACAAGGTTGCTTGATTTTCTTTGTAAACTATTTGAAAATGGTTGAATTATTATGCCGGAATAACAGAGCGCAGAATGAGCCAAATGAAGAAAATATGGTGAACTATATTAAAAAAAAAAAAAAATCCAGGATGAAGTAAGTGCATACGGTAAAATGAAATAAAAGTGAAGTAAACTAGTGACTCACCCTTTGTCGGTTGCAGGAGTAGGAAACACAGAAGTGATACAGAAGACGTCTCGCCTGCCACTTGACGTTCTTGCCATCTATGTACACATTAAATAAATAATAAGTTCCCCACAGTATTATCAAATAAGTTAGAACAACTTCCTCTCCATTTTGGACCACTTAGTGTCTTAAAACAACATTTAAGCGTTGGACTCAATGCCACAGAATCTTATTTCCCCATGTCATATGAATTATTGTCTTTAAAGGTGTTATAAACAGCAGATTCTAAACTGCACACCCAGAATGCGAGGCAGAGGCGTCTTCATTTTAAGGAACGTTGACCCTTCCGAAAAGGTAAGATGGTTTCTTATGCCCTTTTATTTTGTTTTGACTGTCATTCACCGAACAGAGAATCTTTCCTGGTTTTCATGACTTGATAAAATGTATAATTCCATGATCACTGGGTGGAGTGTTTTGGAATCAGGAATTTCTGTGAAGTATTTCTTCTTGAATGAATATCAGCGTGAGGAGCGCCCGACTCCGGACCATGGTGTTCAAATCCCCTCATCAGCCCTCCAGAGAAGCAGAGCGCCCGAGTCCGTGGACAAAGTGTTGGTGGTGGTCACCGTGCTCGACAGCGTGCATTTCAAGGTCAGCATAGAGGATCCAATATTTTGGGCCCGTTTTAGGCAAAAGGAAAATTCGAGGTCTCTTGTAATCCATTAACATTAAAAGATAATTTTGAATCATGAAGCACCCAAATGTTCGACCCAATTTAGATCAACTATATAGCGAGAAAGCACTTCTTATGATCTACTTTTGCGACATGCATTCAATTGAAAAGATCATCTGGAGTCATGAGAAATATCCAACCTTCAAAGAAAACAAAGAAAGAAATGTCTTTGGCACATAATCTATTTACGACTGTGTTTACTGTATTCCATAGTCCCCAAGTAGAAACTATGGAAGAAGAGGCCCAACTGGCCCAACAGGCACAGTGTTGGGGGGAACCGTCCTGGTGGTGCAGGCAGGTTTAAACCCACTCCAGGACCTCCCAGAACCCATCACGCTGACCTTCAAATACAACAAGAAGGTAAAAATCGATCATGGATGTTTTTCGTCAGGCCACAGGCCCTCTAACATTTCGAACAAATGTTTCAGGTTGCCAACGGGGCTTGTGTGTTCTGGAAGGAGATAAATGAGGAAGACGGAACTGGTGGGCGGTGGCGTCTGATTTCTATCTGAGTCTTCATTTTCTAACAGTCCCCTCCCCCACGCACACTTCTGCGTTTGCATGTTTTTTAGGTCTGTGGAGCACGTTCGGCTGTAACACTAGCGACACCGGGAGTGAATTTATTTGTCGGTGCAACCACTTGAGCTTCTTCGCCGTACTTGTGGTAAAAACAAAAAACAAAACACAAAACACACACATTCGCAGTTTTTTACATTTCCTTGAATGAGAGCAACTTTCAAGCTTTTCGGAAACATGAAGAGAAACATGAGCGTCCACCGGTCATGTTTTTGTTTTTGTTTTGTAGCATTGATGACAACCTAACATTCATTTTTGTTCAGTTTAAAGACAACCCAACAAAACAATGTAATTTTCGATTCACCTAATGTGCATGTTTTGAAGACATCGCAGAAAAATCAATTTGTTTTAAGTTTAGTTGATTTATGCATCATGGAAAACATGAAACGAAAGAGTCAAGAATATTATAGATTTGTTGCTACTTTCCATCTGCCGGAGGTAATAAAAAAAGAAAGTTAATCGTAAATGTGAATGACAGCCTTATGGTAGCCCGATTTGTTTTGGTCAACATCAAACACAACCCATTTATAAACATAAAAGATAACCTAATGTTCAGGGTTTGTCAACATCAAAGCTATCTTAGCATAATTTTTGTAAACGTTTTAAGACAACCTTTACCTATTATGCAGACTTTTGTCAACATGCAAGACAATTCCAGACTTTCATGGATGTAACATACGTTTTTTGTAAACATCAAAATCAAGTTTAAATGTGAGAGGTGGATCAGAAAATCAATGGATCACTGTGTTTTTGTAAACATCAAAGGCAACCAAATGTAGTTTTTTTTTTTCTTGTAAATATGTAAGACAACCTAACATACGTGTTTTTGGAACATGAAGACAATTGCGGTCTTCCATGCATGCCTGTTTGAGTAAAAATCAAAGGCTTTCTAATGCAGCCTGAACTTTTTTCTTGAACAGAATCCTGATCTCTCTCTGCGTGAAGAGGATGTCTTCAAGCTGAGTTTGATCACATACGTTGGATCATCGTTGTCGGTCGTCTTCACCATCATCAGCTTGATCTTGTACTCCTGTCTAAAGTCAGTTCTTTGCCTCTTCATTTTCTTCTCATTGGGACCCCTGTGTAATACTAACGCCAATTAAACATAAAAGTCATGCTACTATAACAAATTCCAACATTTTTTTTCATTTTAAAAAAATTGCAATTTTATAAAAATAAAGCCGTAATTTTTTTAGACTGAAAAATCCGTTTTAAAAAGTCATATTTTGTCAGAATGAAAAGTAGTACATAAAATAGTCTCATTTTGCATTGTAATACTGTTTTATAATATCAAAGTCAAAGTTTAACAAGCGAAAAAAGGTAATCAGATACAATTTTGTTCTTGTTATATTGCATATTCTTCTTATATTACCTTCTGGAAAAGACGCCCCAAAAATGTGGAGATGTGAGTTTTTCAGCAAATAGAATAGGTTCCAAAAAAAAAAAAAGACGACATGAATTAGGTAAACTTTTGAATAGCCAACTGCAAATAGGCATGGCATTGCTGTATTCTATATCAAATATTGACCATAGTCATTTTGAAAAATTGCCTTGTGTTGTGGAACAAAAAGAATACTTTATTCATGCAGGGAGGCCATATTATTTTGATACGTCACAGTTATTTCAGAGCTTTTTATTGGCCCAAAGCTAAGGTAGGGGGGAGTAATTGTTTCCTATGTTTTACTGATGCACTGCTCCCCAATTATTTTTGATCATCCCCTGGGATCGGAAGACCCCAGTTTGGGAACCACTGAGCTCGACCAGAGTGTTTACAATAACGTCCTTTTCACTTAGCAAGCGGCAGCCGGACAGAGCCGTTGGCCTGCACATGCACCTGACGGGAGCGCTGCTGTGCCTGCACCTCTGTTTCTTGCTCTGCTGCTTGTGGTCGTGGAAGCTCGCCGAGGAGCCGGCCGATTGGTTCTGCGGTGCTCTTGGCCTCCTTCTGCACTGGTCTCTGCTGGCCACCGTTTGCTGGTCGGCCCTGGAGGGTTTCCATCTTTACCTCCTGCTGGTGCGCGTATTCAACATCTACATCAGGAGATACCTGCTCAAACTGTGTGTGGTGGGCTGGGGTAAGGGATGCAGAAGACCTTGTCGTACACGTGTCACAACATCAAACGTAGGGTTTCCAAAACTACCGTAGATGCCCCTTATTACGCCAAGGATAAATTCTATTCTCGATCCACCCACAACAGGTCTATATATTCACAATCCAGAATGACTTTATTCATATGTAGTTTTAACCCTAACACACACATTCAACACTTAAGACACACTTTTTAAACACATTGTTCATGTGTTCAAACACACGCAACACATTGCAGGCATCTAATGTGTAGAAAATACTAAACAGTAAAGATATTTGCTGTGTGGTCAATACTGGAGTTCCAGAGCTAGTTGTTTAGTTAAGAGTGAAAATAAAGTGCTCCCAATACAACTTTTGAAAGCTTTTTCTTCATGTTGACATGTTTGAAGCATCAATGACATAACGTTTTTCTTTCCCTTCAGGTGTGCCCACATTGATCACTCTGATTTGTGGAGTGTCTGGGGTTTACGGCAAGTACACGCTGGAAGTTCGGGACTCCGCCAACAATAATTCAACCATACAGCTGTAAGTAACCCAGCAGCCTCATCACGATGTTTGTCATGTGAGGTTGTTTGTTTTTTTTTTTTATTTTATTTTATTTTTTTTATGAAAATAATCTTGAATAAATGACATATAAACCCAAAACATTCAAAATTGTTACGGTTTCCATTGTAAATAATGGAAATTAAAAATGATAGGTGATTAACCATCCTATAAGTTCAAATAAATGAACCACCATGGGACTAATCTTTAGGACGAATTTGGAATAAGCCTAAAATGTCTGCTTCAAACAAATTTTTTTTTTGTTTGTTTCTTTTAAGGTATGCTTCTTGAGACTTTTTTTGGGGGGGGTCCCCTCATGATAGACATGCAGACTAAATGTCATGTAACAAAATGGCTTTGGGGGTTGAATTAAAAAAAAAGAAAATAAAAAAGAAAATGGTGCGGTATTGAGCTAAAGCCCTTAAATCAGCCAAAATAAGACCCCCAACACCCTCCATCCCAAACAATTGAAATGTTATCACTGATTAGGAGTAATTGTATCTTAAAATAAGAAACAATAATTCTGTAGGTGAAGGTAGTACTGTATATCAATACACTAGTTTTAAGACATCAGCTAGACTTGTTCAGTTCTGATAATTTTGCATCAATTACGTAATATATTCAGCATTCCACATTTTTTTCTGGTTTTGTAACTCCAGTTTTCAATGTAATTATTCTACAAACCAACAGGTGCTGGATGAGCAGTCAGTTCAATTATAGGAAAGCGGTCACCTACACCACCACAGTGGTCTTCCCGAGCCTTGTGGTGCTCTTCAACTCCTGCATGTTGGGTCTGGTGGTCTTCCAGCTGTGGAGGCTGCAAGGAGGCGGTTTAAAAGGTGGAGGACCGAAGGGCATCAGGGAGAAGACCAGCAGGTTGTGGAAGGATTGCGTGACCGTGCTGGGCCTCAGCTGTGTGCTGGGTTTACCTTTCGGCTTGTCGAGTGCCACCTATGCCTCTGTGCCGGGCGTCTACGTCTTCACCGTCCTCAACTCACTGCAAGGTCAGTCAAGAAAAAAACAGCAATAAGGTGTTTTAATGCAGGGCTTCTCAAACTGTTTGCGCCAGGGACTATTTGCAGGGGAGAAACTTTTACATTTTTTCAAAGACCACTTCTTATCCTCACGTCAATTCAACATTTACTGGGGGGGAAAAGTCGGAATGTTACAATAAATTCTTAATTTGGGGAGGAAAAAAAGTTTTAAATTGAATGGACTGTGAAGAAAAAAGTTTCATTCCTTGCAATAACAAAGACATATTTTGTTGGGTAAAAAGTCTTTGTCTTAGCTCAATAAAGTTTGATTTCCTTAATTTAAAGTCATAATATTGTGCTCTTAAAGTTTAACAAGTGAATTTCAGAAATACAACTTTATTCTTGGAATGCAGTTGACCTCGCATATCCATGTTACAGCACTCACTGATTCACGGATTTAAAAAAATATATAATTGATATTTTTAAATGATTCGAGATCATCATTTCTTGCACGTTCTTTTGCTGCCCTCCAAGCCTGAACCAAGTTTATGAATTCGTGGTTCAATGTCTTCACCCGTTATTGACCATTGTATAATATTGTTGTCTCTCAGGGGTCTTTGTGTTCCTGTGGTGTTTGGCATTGACGTGCAAGTCTCAGTCGGACGCCGCCTCCTCCTCAAAAGACACTTCCTCTCAGAGAATCATGACCACCAGCTTCAACAGCTGACGAGCACCACCGTGCGTGCGTGAATTTTAATGATTTAAATCTCCTTTTAACTAATCCATGTTTGATCCATTTTGTCTAGTTTTGCACTAACCCCCAAAAAACTGACATTTGCAAACAGATGGATACCGCTGTCCTCCACTTTGTCTTAAACTTGAGTATGGGGAAACCTTGCTGTCTTTGTTGATTTTTTTTTCTCCTCTTGCCGTTTGTTTCTGTATTATGCAATACGCTTGCTATAGTTAAACATTGGCAAGAGCCCGTCGCAATGATCATGGGACTAACAGTATGCAACTGTGGCATGATTGAATCGTATTACATTGCTGTGCAATTTGAATCTTTAAGGTAATTTGTCCAAGTAGCATTTCCGTACAAGTTTCAATGCAGATCTACTTCCGTGTACATTTTCGGTTTGCCTTCTCGAAATAATTCTTTCCGAATTAGTAGTAATATTGAAGCCTCCCATCACTAGTTAACTGGGGTTAAACGCCAATTCTTAAATCTTCGTGTCCGGATGAACTCGTCTCGGTGCAATTTAAAGCTTCTCCAGCTAATTTGGTTTAGCTTGCTTGCTGAGAACAAAGGGATGCCTTTGTTATCAACTCATTGCGAAGCAGATATCAAGTGAGGGGAAGAGGTTGTGATTATCGTGTGGAATGTGTGCAAAAAGTGTGAAAGAAGAACACAAGGAGACATTTTTTCAAACAAAAGAGGAGAACGAGCCACAACGTCAACTACTCGACCTTGTTTTCAAGAAGACTCAAGGTGCGTTCAACGCAGCAGGTTTGTTCAATCTCTTTTGTTTAGTGGTTTTATTCTGAATGTAATCTGTTAAGCATCGTAGTTAAATCGTTTTCTTGTGTGTAACGGTTATTTGACGTTGTTCTGAGGGGGAAGACAAGCCGGCATATTGTCGTCTGTTTTAATTTGTATGTTAACCCCCAGTCAGCAAAATTGGTCTGGCCCGGCTCCGGCGCGGACACGGCACGACACTCGGCCCACATACCGCAATGAATGACGGTCCTGCAGTGGCCCGGGTCTGGCATCCATGATCCGGGCCGCATTCGGCCCGGATCTGAGCCGCATTGTATAACCATATCCGGCCCCACTCCTGCCCGACGCTGGGCCAGAACAGGTTCCTGATATCAGCCTTAATTCAACCTCAACTAAGCCACATCTTTCATGAGCCATATTTGACCCACATTAAAAAAAAAAAAGTCTCAAAAACAACTGTTATAAAAATATGTTTATTGTCATAATTTGCAAACCTCACATATAACTCCACATACACTGTTAAAATGCACTTTTCTTTATTTAGCAGTGAACACAAAGTCCAAATTGGGATGCAGCTTCCTCTTGAACGGTATTTTTCTATCCATCAAATTGTAGCGCTCTCCATGCACTCTTTTCTTCTTATGCTTTTCTTCCTGTCACCATCCCGATAAGGAGCCAGATGTAGCCATCTTGTGATTGTGACATCAATTCCCTGGTCTGAGGCCCAAGACATTAAGGTGTTAGGTCTCACAGCGGCTGTCAGAACTGTAAGAAAACAAGAATGGATAGTGTGTTCGGAAAACAAACATTTGTACATGTCATGAACAATGAATGGTCAGTAAAAATAACCCTTGAAATATCTTATAATAATAAGAATAATACATTTCATTCATAAGCGTCTTTCAAGACACTCAAGGACACTTTACAACCAAAACTAAACGAGGTGTGACGCTGTGGGGCAGAATATTTGCCACCAAAAACTCAACGTGAATAACTTTTGAATAGTTTATACTAAATTTGAATTACATGAATTGAAGTTAAGTGTATGGAAAATGGATGTACTTGTATATTTTACTCTGAATCATATTGAATAACTGAATCTGAATTGTAAAATCTGAATTTTAAACGAGAATTTTTTCTTTGAAACTGTATTTGATCCTCACTGAAAATTAAATTCTGTTTATTTTCATATT